TATATATATACATTATAAATACGTGTATTATATATAAATATTGAAAAGTATGAATGTATATGTATTTTTTATTAATGTATATAAAGACCTATGTCTAAAAAAATATGGCAATGTAGATGCCTGTGCATTGGTAAGGATAAGCGATGAACAACTGCTCCCTCATTAAACTGATACGTGTGGGTGCATGCCAAGTTATCTTACAACTACGACGCAAACTTGATTCTAATTGCCGCCTGACGTCATTTTCAGTAAGCCTATCACATACTGATAAAGTTTCTAAGACATTGACGTAAGCTGGATGTAAGACAAGAAATTAATTAATTAATTAACATTTTCGTAATATTCATAGGGAGATGATTGTCAAGGCCACGGTACCCACTGCGCGGGTACGGTGGGAAGCAAGACATATGGAGTGGCACCTGGAGTACAGTTGTATGGTGTTAGAGTTCTGAAATGTAATGGTGCAGGTTCATATTCTGTCATCATGCAAGGTGAAACACACTTTATCGTTGATATCAGATGAGAATTTATTTACCTATTTTTATTTATTTTCAATCTGTCGACAAGAAGAAACAATAAAGATTGAACAGGGTGCAGACAAACGAACAGCCAGAAATAGAACCAGAACGTCAACATGATGCATAGAGCCTACTCATTTTTCAATTTTCTAAATTCACGTCACAAAAATATTAGATTAGCTATTTATTAGGAAGTGGAAGATAAACTTCCCTTCCTTGACGTACTCATTTCAAAATCTGAAAATAATGGACATACATCTGTAAATTTTACTCTGTCATTCTGATTCATTTACTCATCTTTATTTATACATTTTCTTCTCAGGCATGCTTCAATTTCTTAAAAATGAATGCTCCGCCTCTCCCATTTGGTCTTATGTATTTCTATAAATATTTGTAGGCGCTTATAGACATTGTTACACCTGTCTCTTATACACATCTAGATGTGTATAAGAGACAGAGTAGGACCTACGGTACTAAAAATGAGGTGTCTTGTAGTAATCGTTCTCGTCACTGCCGCCGCTGCTGGACTTGCTCCACTACACAGGACAACAGGACCCAAGGAGCAGGATCGTTACATAGTTCGTTTCAAAGTATGTTAACATTGATTATCAATTGTTATTACTCATTTGTATTTTGTTTTTAATAATTTCATTTCATTGTTTATTATTTATTTTATACAACATAAAGTACATAGAAAGTTACAGCATTATTGAATATGATTTTTATAAACACTCCTAGAATTCATCGCGGTGCGGCGGTACGCGATATGGAAATACATACTAGTTGCAATAGCCTTTTGCACGCAAAATCCATATCAAACAAAACGTGCACTAATAAAAAAAAACTTTGTACACGGTTGTGGATAGGAAAATAACATTGTGAGTTGCAAAGTTGACATCACGATTGACTTATAATGAGTATTTATGGTTTATCTTTATAATTATTATTGAAGGAATGGATTGGGTTGCAAAGAATCACCAATCGCCGGCAGTGGCATCAATTTCAATTGGTGGAAGTTACTCACGATTAATGAACGAAGCAGCAAATGCGCTAGTCAAAGCAGGTGTCACTGTCGTTGTAGCGGCGGGCAATGACAACACAGACGCTTGCAATAGATCTCCAGCAAGTTCCGGTGATGTAAGAGTAATTCTTTAAAATAATAATAATCCATGGGTCCACACTATCAAAACGTATTTGACAAAAGAAAACGTGACATGCCCAAATATGGTCATGATGATATCATCACTATAGGCTATATGGGCATCCAACAGTTTTGTGTCAAAGAATAATATTTGAGTGTGGACAGCGCATTACACTTAAAAAATAAAAACCAACTGTTAGTTCAGCGTCTATACAATATAGGCCTAGATAAGGTATGAGACCTGTTTAAAAATTTCCTATGCAGTTTTAATGTAAATGTTGACTTCTCTCTCGATTTGGATTTTAAGCATTTACACATTTAATACAGTATTACGCATTTATTTAATTAGACCTATGAATTTATATAGTATTTTGTTTTAGGTAAATGAATATTTAATCATATTTGATGTACAACTTCTACGGAATTTAGCTTTTATTGCTCTGTAAATTGAATATTACATAATAAAAGCTTGCATAATTCATCATGATAATAATCATAAAATATTACAAGAATATTTATAAATGATTTTACGTTTGTTAGGTTATAACTGTAGCAGCCTCGAATAAAAATGATAACAAACCAACTTGGTCCAATTATGGGGAATGTGTTAACATCTTTGCACCAGGCGCGGGAATACCATCCACGTATATCGGTAGCACGACAGCTATGAAAACCAGTAGCGGAACATCAATGGCTACTCCACATGTTGCAGGTAGGTCGTCATAATCCTCTGATACTGTAGTTTAAAACCAATTCTGTTTTGTTGTGTAATCGGTATTCACTTTTTCATTTAAGATTTAAACGCCCATACACGTTACGTGCGTAATGTTAGTGTGGTGTGCGTAAACATGTTCGTGCGCACATATACATGTATTATAGGCATGATCCTATGTTAATACTTTTAACTTAGTTCTTATATTCCTTTTAGTTTGTAGTTAGGTTTATTAGGCCTAATATTGTTTATGGATGGGCAGTTGGGGTTGGGTTGCGTGCCACCGATGTAAATGGTGAATGTCAAATAAAGTGAAGTATCATTCTCATCAGCATCATAATCATTCTTGTTATTCTTATTTTTTTTATTTCCAAAACAAGACGTTCACAAAACGATCCATTGAGTGGTCGGCCAGGCCAATAGTGAACCTAATCATTATTACATTAAGTATGAAGTTCTCGACCACCCACCTTCACAAAAAAAAACATTGCCATTAAAACTTAAACATCATTTTTTAAACGTCTGGTCTAGTTTTCTCTGGTGTACTGAGAATTAATAACATGCTTTTAAAAATTTACAACTAATTTTAATTGAATTTCGGTGGTTTTTCATTATCACTGTGTTTTCTAACACAACACATTTAATACCTGTGAATCGCACTAACAGTATAGGCCTACATTCTACATATATTACAAATATGGTTATGTAGATACTTTACCACTTTTCATTGCCATAGCTTAATATGCTTTGTATGGATTATAATATAAACATTAAAGACATGTTATTCAAATTCGCCAAATATTGATTGGAGTATTCATGATTGTGCTTTAAGGGGTGGCAGCTCTGATTCTTGGACAAGACTCAACATTGACGCCGGCCGATGTGAAATCTCGTATTGAGGATGCGGCTACTAAAGATATGTTGGTGGATCTTGATTCAGCACAGAAATCACCAAACCTTCTTCTTTGTATTCCAAAGGACAAGCCTACGCCTCTTCCAAAAATAAATATTTTGTGAGCTTTGTGTCATGCTAAACCGCCTTAATTACGATGACGTCAAAAGTATTGCGATTTGCAAATTTATTAAACATTGATGAGTAGTAATGTGAATGTGTCGTTTGGTTTATTAAATTCATTCTAAAATAATCATTACAATTCAGATTTGTTTTGTATTGTTTTGTATACCATACATAAGGACCACGTACGGAGAGCTAGGTGGTTAAGGCCTGATTTCCATTAAAGCGCTACACAGTCCCGACAGCGTTTTCATTGCAATCCTAGAGCACTGTATGGCAATCCCCGACGCAATCGGGACTCTCCCTGATCCCACTGACCAATGAGCGTCGCCAAAGGAATCGGCGATAGATGGTAACGACACTAGGCTAAAGATGATTGCTGTCAAATGCCATGGTCATCATGGTCAGTCGCGGTTAAAACAACTTCACTCTGTAAAGCCAGGGAACAGTGAAATTAAGTTTCACTGTTCCCTGGTAAGCCGAGCACTTATTGCGTCCGACGCGACGCTGTCTATAGTTTGTCGATGGCAGTCTGAACGGATCGTCATTAAAAACAATCCGTTGCGTGCGCGTCGTGGCGTTGTGTTCTACACAGAATCGCGTCGGCTGACGACCGTCGGGCGCATTAGGTGTCCGGCTTTAAGTTTATACTTAGTTCATACTGTAAAAGCATTTGAAGTGGTCCGCTGGGCTGTAAACATTATATTTCTACTGAGCAGATTAAATTACCCAGTAGCAAGTTAAAGATACCCGTTATTTATATGGCAGACTTTGATTACATGTAATCTACATTCATCGTGGATGTCGATTTGTAAACTAAGTAACCTTGCCGTAATACATTATGTTTGTGTGAATGTTTTCAGAAAGGAAAAACTTTGGACATTCGCACTGTAATCAAAGACCAATAATAATAATAATAATAATAATAATAATAATAATAATATACGGGCAATAGTTAAAATCAAAGAGTATAAAACAGCAAGAGGTCCGACTGTTCTGATTTTTTATGTAGGCAATGGAAGTTAAAAATACTGCCACAAAATAGGGGGCGCCCTACACATAATTTAGAAACTCGTACTTGTGCTCATTTGTTAAAGGCCACGCCCCTTTGTGGAAGTACTTTTTGAAATAAGATTGCGTTCCGACGAATCCCGGCAGTCGGACCTCTTGCAATTGCAATACTCTTTGTTAAAACGCATGAGAAACACGCATAACAATTGAGGGCGTTGTTTGCAAATTTTAATGACTCTTTACACTTAATCGCTTCTTTAAAATCAAGAATACTTAATTAAACATTTTAAACACAGATAGAGCCAAACAGTAAATTATATCATCCTGAGAGGAAATGTTTCAATTTTGCTAAATAATTTTAATATCAATGCATTTTTCAACTTCTTTACTTTAAACCCTATTTACAAAAAACAAATATTAATTTGAATACAAAGCAACCAAAAGTTCAGCTTATCAAAACGCCTCATTCTGACGAAAAATATTTTCTCTTCATAAAAAACTGTGAACTTACAAGAGCCTGTGGCGCAATCCAAACATATTTGATTAAAATAAAATCTTATACATGAAATTTATACTCTAGATTTAAAATGTTTTTTTTTTTTAATTTTATTTAATTTAATTTTTTTATTTTTAACTTCGAAATTAACAGTACTGAAGGCATAATTGGAACACTGTATCACCCTACAGGGAACTTTTGACAGAGATTCTTTATTTAACATAATCATCCCATATCCCATATCTCATGTTAACCACAACATCTTTGTGGTTTATATCTGTTGATTTACATGTTATTGTACCATGATTTAACATTATTGTGCTGGAAACGTATTGTTTACATGGATACCTCTATTTCAAGAAATGTTACATTGTTAAAACTTACATTTTCAGGCAAATCCCCATTTTTCTAGTTTATACGTCATGATAAGAATGTACAGAATTTGATAAAATTTCACCAATATTTTTTGGCTCTTCTATTTTGAATCAATTCCTAATGTTCTCGACCCACATTTAATTTCTGTAAACCTGGCAGTTATGTTTACATTATTACTTTTCCAATTTTTCTATGACTAACATAAAGTTCAACTTTCTGAATGCTGTCCAAAAAATTAGAAAAAATTTCAAATCAAGGCAACACCTTTACAAGGATACTAGGAAAGAGTGACCTCCATTACTTGATATCTTAGAATGAATGACAGTAAAATGACTGATTTTTATGGCATTGAGAATTGAAAACCATTTAATACTAGGCTTTTACTTCTTGCAATCAGTAATATATCTTAATTGTCTCTCATACCTACAGACATGTATTGGTTATTTTATTAAATATATGTAACCATATTATATACAGAGTTTTATCATAGACATACTAGTTTAAATATTAAAAATGCACAGAGGCGCAGTAAAAGCCAATAGGCAGTCAACGTTAAAATGTGGTATTAGGCCCATTTTGCATACAGCATTAAATATGACCACACCACAGAATAATAACCACCATACACTACCTACAAAAGGAAATCTATTCCATTATATTCTGCATACATATTTAAACCATGGACCTATTAATAAGAAGCTACATAACATATACTATCACATTATTTGTTAGACAAGAAATACGTTAACTATCTAATTATGCCATTTTTACTAAAAATCATAGTCTTCTTTATTAAATTGTAGCAAAATATACACGTGTAAAAAAAATAATAACACAAAAGAGCAGATGTTTTATTCACTTAACAATACTAGATAATCATAATTCTGTGATCAAATGAGGAGGATAATAAACTAGCAGCAAATCAAATTCCATCAAAATGGTGACATCATTTTCTCATCTTCTTTGATTGGATAATTAAATAATGTCCCTCACTTTGAATAGCAGTTGCAACAGAATAAATAGATGAGGTTGACATGTAAAATAACTTGTTTTGGTACTCAACTTGACTTTGATGAAGCAATGCGGAGACCAACAAATATACTGTGGAAAATAAACAGAAACAAATTAATTTCACATTTCAATTGTTGAACATTACAGTAGCTTTAATGGGTCAGATGCCTTCCAACCAATGCTGGACTCATTTTTGTAATTTAATTGATAAAAAAAAAAACATTAAAAGAATATAAAAACAAAATAAAAGAATACAGTGTAAATCTGAAATTATTGTCAATAAATAAATGACATAAATAGACTGCACCTTTCAGAGCTCTGTCCACACTATCAAATTTTCTATGACAAAAAACTGTTGTATGCCCATATATAGTCATGATGTGCCTATATATGGTCATGATGTGCCTATATATGGTCATGATGTGCCCATATATAGTCATGATGTGCCCATATATAGTCATGATGTGCCTATATATGGTCATGATGTGCCCATATATAGTCATGATGTGCCCATATATAGTCATGATGTGCCTATATATAGTCATGCTGTGCCCATATATAGTCATGATGTGCCCATATATAGTCATGATGTGCCTATATATGGTCATGATGTGATGTCATCCTTACCATATTTAGGCATGTCACATGTTTTTGTCAAATAAAATTTGATAGTCTGGACAGGGCCTTAGAAATGTATATTTGTCTTGTAAAAGGGATTGTCACCTGCAAGTAGTGATTGTCACCTGCAAGTAGTGACATACTTCGCTATTGACAATCCTTGGTGCATGTGTTGTGTGCATAAATGAATAATAAATAAATAAATAAAGCATTACATAGCATATTATTATTATTATTACTATTATTTGGCACGTTCAGACGAGTCAGAAGTAAGATTTGAAGTAGCAGTTTACTTGTTGTAAGCCCTGGGTAGTGCTTGTGAAGACTCTCAATGTATTAAGTTACTTCAATGTTACTACAGATGATTTAATCCTGAGCAGTCTCAGGTGAAAGTGTGCTACCATACTTCCGCGTACACAAGGAAGATAACGAATACGCGCTCAGGGTAGCGCCGTGTAGAAGCACTTACCTCAGGGCTTGCAAGTAAATGCGACCCTTATTTTGGCCTCAATTTTTTTCAAAAGATAAATACTTACAAATGAGTGCCAAAATAACATCTCCTGTGATGTGTAATCCTTTGTAGACATGATGTTTTAAAAATTATTTAAAATTTCAAGAATTTTTGTGCAAAATAACCATTGAGAGACAACGAAAATGGTGATCATCAACTCCTGAAAATTTGCATAATTTGCATAAGAAAATTATGCGTTGGGTAACTAGTCGGAAGTAACGTGTGCGTAAAATATCACGTTTGTTGTAACTTTACTTCAGATGGAAGGCCATCTGAACATAACTATTATTGTACTAGTATTGATTGACGATACTTACCCAATACCTATGGACAGTATGTTTGTTAACAACATGGATGGTATGAAAACACGAAGAAAATCTGCTGAAAGGAGTTCGCTCTTCATTGCCTTAGATTTGCGGATACTAAGACCAGATTTCTCAGGGTGCTTCAAGCGACTATAATCCCTGTAAAATGAAATGCGAATTGGTAGTTAATATTAATGTATTTCATATAAAAGTATGGAGTTGGGTAATAGCTAATTTTCATGACCAAATTCATTCCAGTGATTAAAAAAATAAGCCTTATAGAATTATTCATTACACATTTAATATATTACTAACTATGGGTAAAGCTATATTTACACTAGACACAATAACAACACGACGACATATCAGGGACATATCATCACGTCATTTATATATTCTTCAAAACTGAGCGCATTTTTATCGTTTTGTGTCTAGTGTAAATAGCTTTACCCTGGTATACTGGTCTATACAGCTCCTGTTATGAACAGACGGGCAGTAGCTGGCAACAGTTTAACAGGTAGCTCAGACAACAAGAGACCCCTTAGGGAAAAAGAAATTTAAGGTGCAAGGTAGCCCACAATTTAAGCATTTGAGACTAGCATAAAGTGCTATATCAAACTGTAAACTGTCTGCAAGAATTCCAATTAATATATATTCTATTTATCTACTATTACACCTGACTGGGTAAACCAATGAAGTGAATCACCAAGCTGATAGCTAAATATTGCCTTGCCTTTGCAGGTTAAATAACATGCCAACTTGCTTTTATCACAACAATCTTATTGTGTTATGCTTAGCAATAATGTCAAATACATTAAATTATCTCACAAGGGAAGATGCTCAGCACAATGTAAGATATATTACATTTAAATAGCTGACAGTAAAATAAAAAAGCTTTATATTTTATATATATATATATATATATATATATATATATATATATAAATGCAGTAATGTATCTAATAAAGTAAATGTAACTAACGACATGTTTCGACGTGTCCCACGCCATCATCAGGTAATAACGCTTATGCTACTAACGGCTTAAATACTACCGGTCAGATTAAGACGAAACAATATTTGCTTATATTATATATTATGTATTCCCAACCACAAATGATCGAGAGAGGATCCTACTAATGCAAGTTATCCAGATTTTCGTACATTTTGTAAAATTAAAAGGAAATAAAAAAATTTAAAAAAAATTGGTGAGGCAGAAAAAAAAGATGTGCGAGGGGACAAGAAACTAGTAATTTTTTTAATTTGGCCATAAATTTTAAATTCATTTCCATATGCATTGTCTGAAGAAATAGTTTCCAGAGAGGTAATTTGAAACAATGTTAAAAAAGTTCACTGTACAACCAAGGCTCTATTGATGCATATAAATTGGGAATAAACATTTACTATGATGTCCAAATAGCCAATTAATTACTTACTTCGATGGTCGTAGCTCTGGTCGACTTGACCATTCCCAGATCCAATCTGCACTTCTTCCGGCGATTTGGCCAGGAAGTAATGGCATGCCCTAAAAAAAAAGTACAATTTGCATCAAAATTATTTTCAAAAACATAAACTATGCCTTTATTTCAAATAATAGTATAATAATAATAATAATAATAATATGATTTTATTTGTTAAGCCACCTTCATTAATAGAATACATCAATTTCTCCCTATTTATCCTATTTTAAATTATTGTCGCAATGCCACTACTAATTAAAACCGATGCTTGCTTCCCTACAGTATACTGCAATATAGACTCGCCTATACAGTAACATGTGAAGATGACCCCCGAGTTTTGTATGCCGGGTGTATAAGATGACCCCCCCCCCCCCGTTTCACCATCAGAATTCATACTTTTAGCTGCTATTTATGGTCTTGATACTGCACCTCTCTGGCTAAAAACGTAGCCAAATGCAGGGCTAATCTTCCAAATAATACCATTTTATAAGATTTTAAAGGTTCATAAAAATCTTATATCCCCGTATTTAAAATTCCGTTCATTTATAAACCTACTAACATTTTAGTACTGTAGCTTCATTTGCAGTAGTAAACTCGCATGTTACAGACGATCTGCACAAAAACACGAACATGATTTTAAAAATCAAAAAATTTGTATTTCGTGCATATCAGACGACCCCCTGTTGTTTTTATGGTAACTTGTTATTTTAAGCCCTGTCTTATACGCGAGTATATACAGTACTACAATATGTTACTAATTAATATTTATGTTCTAGGTCTGCACATTAATGCTTCATGTTGAAGTTTAGAGCTTTGATGATTTATGTTAACAACTGGATGTTTGGTGGACTGTAATCAACAGCACATAACAGCATATAAATACCTGATGTTTACATGAATCAATATGTCATATACCATTCATTCAGTCAATGAAAGACTAAAATAAGTTTGCGAAGGGCTATACATTGTATGAACTTGAAAAGCATCAAAGCAAACTATAGAACCAAATTTGGGATGAGTAGAGCACCTTATTGAAAAGGCAGCTTAGCTCAGTCGGCTAAACTGGTAATAGCCACTGTGTGTGCCTTGAGATGGGAGATCTTTACATATCTTTGTTCCCAGTTTAATTCCATATGCTGCGCTCCTTGTGTTTCCCAGGGACACTAAAATCAAATTTGTGTCAAAGGCCACCATGTTTAGAATTATAGGTGTTGATCCTGTGTGAATATTACCCATGTTTTACTTTAAAGTAAATGTACACTTTTCAGAAAAGAGGTAGGGTGATTGTCTCCCAGTGGTTGGTCCAATTCTGTAATGTATGATGGCCCGTGACTTTTACGATTGCATGCAACAGTTCTGCCAGCAAAGTTGATCATTGAGGGCGCATCTGCTCACCAAAATATCTACCTAGTACATACTCTATTAATTATAATCTAGTTACAAAATTTGGAGCCTGCTGAATTGAGCCTGTCATTCCTTAATATTTTTTGAATTATTATGTTGGTTGATCACTGTGGAATTATTTCAAATATTTACTTGTTTTTGGTGTTTCTATATTTAAATAATTACATTTTCTCACTCACTGGAGCTTTTTCACTGGAAGATCCACATGATGTTCCACTACCAGATGAACCTGGAGCAATGGATCCTGGAGCACTTGCAATAGGACTGTGAGGTCCTTTGGGGCTAGAAAATACAAAAGTGCTTTGTTATTATTTAAACAACCGTTATCATATTCACTCTAATGCATTTTTTGCGAGTCAACCAGGGGCGCCGCTAGCTACAGCCTTAACATTGGCGCTGGTTCCAGCCGCTCCTCGCCCGTGGTTCGGTTGGTAGAACCAAGTCTTCTCGGATAAGGACTTAAAATGGAGGTCCAGTGTATATATCTGGCTTGTGTCTACTTTAAGAACCCATTGCATCTTTCGGAAGAGTAGGGTGTTACCCCGAAGTTATTATTCATTTCTGCCCCTGTCATTGTGGAATGATGTGAAAATGTATCTGGGCCATGAAGCGCCTATACGGCTGCTAGGTAGTCACAGACCACGCCCATATGCAATTCAGCACAATGACCTGCAAGTAATGGTTTTCTTCTCCTACAGTACCTTCACCTTTACATAATAGACTTCAACAATCTATAATGTAGCTAGATTATAAATAAAGACTTAGTGCAAGTCTTAATATGCATGATAGGAAAGGTACACAATGTGAATGTACAATATTATGCACCAGAATGTGGTCTACAGTGGAATGATTTTTTTAAAACGATTGCCATACACTATAGTACATGAATGATTGTGTTTACAGCCTTATTAATTATAAATGTTTATTTTATATTTTATAACTTATTTCATATTTAAAATGTTAAAGTTTGTATCTTTAATATTATTAACTACAAGGCCTTATTATATTTTATTGATATATTACAGTACAGTATAGTTTTTTATTTATTGTTATTTTTAAAGAGGGCCCCTGGATATCAGCTGGCCAATAGGTTCAACTGGAAGGGCTCTAAAAAGGAAGTTGAAATTAAAAAAAAAATACAATAATATTAAAAATAACTATTGAAATACACGCCATCGTGTTGGGATTCAATATTTCGACATTAATTATGTCATCATCATCAAATAACATTGATAATATAAAATAATGCTAACAATAGTTAACAATAATACTAAACGTTAATAATATGAATAACAATTTATGATAAAAAAAAAAAAATTACAATTTATGACCTGTAACAATAGTTCTCAAGAATCATCAACTTCCTCTTCAAAAAATGCTTTCTACTGTAAACTTACAAAGAGGAACTTTGAAGGTCATATCTCCATTATGAAGCATACAAAACACAATGGCATTCAAATGAATTGATAACACAGTGATAATAATTAAAGGCTGAACAATCCATGACCAAACATAGGCATCAACACAAAGGTTTAATTAAAGCCATGTCTAGACATGGAGGTATAAAATAATATATCTCCATGGTCCAGATTATCAAGTTTTCTTTGACAAAAACTTGTGTCTGCCCATATATGATCATCATGTGCCTATATATGGTCATGACGTGATGTCGTTTAGGCATGCACATTCAATTTTGATACAGCCAGTCTGGACAAAGCTTAAAATAAACTGCATATGTCCCATCACATGTATGTATTTATAGCCCTAGAGCATCTGTTTCAAACATTGCCGGCAATGCCATAGATAATGAGTTCTAAGAAAAACATGGTTCATTAATCAACACCTTCAACCACAATATCACAACTCATGACCTATATCAGAAGCCATCAGAGCGACCATCATTGAAAAATATTGAAAAAATAATATTAAATAAATATACAAATGTGTTCCTATTCAATTCAAGTCAAATCAACGTTATTTAGCCTCTAAAATATTGTGGACAATGGACTGTAAAATGAGCGATGGTTTTTCTATACTGGTCCTGGACAAAAAACACACAATACAAACAAATATATGAAACATATTTTGAAAATAAAAGAAATTATGAAGAAGTTATTCAAAGCAAATTTAATGCTGTACAGAAATACAATTGGGAGTTTTCGAAAGCAGTGGCGGATTAGAGGGGAGCATAAGGGGTGTTCGCACCCCCTCTATTTTTTGTAAAATATTTTTTTGTCAAGCTTTTTAGAAAATTACCACGCTAAATAGTAAATACCAATCAAATACTAACTCCAATTTATGGAGGTGCTACAGGTTTAAGGGGGATTAACCCCTTGGATCCATAACATGGGGCTTTTCCCTGAGACTTACGCTCTAGGCTCTTTCTTAACGGGGTGGATCCGTCCCTGGAAAGTGCACCATTACTAGGGGGCCTTCTTGGTGTTGCCCACCCCCAATGCTTACTGTATCATGTTCATGTGATGGGTAAATCTTTAGATGAATACAAAACACTGTACATAAAATTCCAGTATTTATATAGTTGACAATGTGTGTGTACACCCACTGGAAGCCCCCTGCAGCTATGGCATCATCAGAGGTGGAGTAATCACTGTAAACTGGATCGGTGTATATAATAGCTGAACTTGATCATATATCATTTATTACTCATGATGAATTAAAGTATAATTTATTGTTTATTTCAAAAATTCTGTTCATTTGAAATGACAAGTGTCAGGGTGATGATGTGTCTACGATTTAGAAAAAAAAAAAACTTGGCAAGGATGCAAACTTTAGCATGCAGTACTGCACGTCAGCGCTATCATATGTAGCTCATTACTACATTGATATTGTACCATTAGGAATCCAGATCAAATCAGCTGTTTAAACTTCAACAATAGATTGCTTTTCATCATGTCAACTGCACAAGAAGTAAACTTGTAAACACAAATATGAACATAATTATTAATTTAACAAGCTAGCTGTAAAAGTCAACTGGAATAATTAATGTATATTTACGTCTTTATAAACCATTCCTTCTAGAACTATGGTTGCATTTAATGGGCCATAAATCAAATATCAAGTCAGAGATAAATTATAACATTACAAATTTTCATATCAGAATAAAGTTTGTAGATCCTCTTAATTATGCATTTCAAAAAAACTGCTTCTACGGATAAATATACTTTTACCAAAGACTAATACAGGTTTTGTTCAATGTTAAACGATATACTGTGCATGCTTGAATACTGTAGAAATATAAACACTTATATCACAGTGAATGTATACAAGATTGATTTTAAAAACAGATTGCCTAACTTCACATTTGTAGCAATCAAGATTTGCTGTCAATCAAATATTCAGGGAGACTGATCAGAATGCATATAGTTATAAAACAAATAAGAAAATCATAACACAAACAAAAACTACTTTATAAACAAAATACTGTATAGAAAATACAAGAATTATATTTCTAATCAAAATCAAATCAATATCAAAATCAATAAAACAAACAGTACAAAGTAATGATTTCTGATCAGGTATTTATCATTCATATTCAAGGTAAAATAATAACGATACAAAACAAAATAAACTGAAATATGGTGAATTAATTGAAAAAAATAAATATAAATGAATTGACTTTGAAATTATATCAAAATATAATAACAATGAATGGTAAAAAAAAATACAAGAAAAAAAAAACATTGTATTTACATTCATTTTTAGTTCAAGAAAAGGGAGTGGGCCTCAAAACATTCAAGTTTGTTAATTAAGCATTGTAGGGAACTGTATGTAAAAATCAATATTAATTATAAATATAATCTGTGGACTTCTGTTTACCTTCCTCCTTGCGAGCTTCCTCTTGAAGTATTGCGTGATTCTCTCTGTGCTTCCATCAGCAGTTTTTCCATGCTGTCTCTGTTCATGTTGATCATTGGTCGGCCATGGCTGCCATTCAGGGCATCTTGTTGAGCATAGTTCAACTCCACCCAGGATTCTGAAGCACAAAATCATGAGTTCCATGGAATTTACATAAATTATTAAATAAATATCATTGTGATAGTCATAGAGTTAGCACAAGTCCTGTACTTCAATGTACTTTAGGGGAGGCTTTTTTTATACCTTGTTCAACGAACCCGCCGACTGCAAATATTGATGATTTTGAATAAAAATAAAATTTTACTTTTGGCCAATTAGCGTACAGTACCCGCTGCCAATAAAAAGTGGAAATTTCAGAAAATAATGAAAGTTTTTCATTATTTTTATTACACCCTCCATTGCCTTGAAATCTCCAAAGATAAGATATGTATATTTCTTCCTAATTATATAAATTTGAAGTGCCTTTTAAACATCCCATTTTACATTCACCAATAAAATTTTATTTTTATTTTCTCATCCATCTCATGTTTTTGGCTAAACTATATGTTAAATAAGAAAACAACATTTTATTTTATTTATTTAAATTATCCGATGATCTTTAAAAAATTAAGTACACGAAACAAGGAATAAAATATCTCGCATTAGAAAAAGAAATAAATATTTATTATAGGGGGGCGTGGGATGTGCGGACGCACCCTCACATGCCCACAAATTAGTTCTATCAGGGAGTTGTTATAGTGATATACTGTACAGTATATTGATAAATAAAGTTAACAACACCCTGGTTCCACAAAGTGGGTTAAAATACTAAAGTTTTCATTGGAATAGGGATTTAGGTCCGCATTATGCGATTTAGTTCCACATTCTTTTTTTTTCACAGCCCCTCACCTCCAAGAATGACACCAAGCCTACAGTATGCCTCTGTCGATAATACACTATGAGGGAATTATATTTCAGAAAGGAGGATCTATAGAAATGTTGTTGTATAGTATGAATGTAATTCAAAAAGAACAATTTACTGTACTTGTCTTAGCAATGATAGATCTGAATGATTTAATTCAACAAACGACTATAAGCAGTATTTGATATTTGAACAATAACTGCTTTACTCATTATCTGAAGTAGACATGTTTGCCAAAGCTTAACATCAAATTTGAGTACACGTAACAAACTTAGAAAAAAAAAACCTTTAAAAAACATTTTTATGTACTTTTCACCTAAGCACACACATATATACCATGGAGGAAATATGCATATACTGACGCCCTGACTTAAACTGTACTTAATAAACTATATATTGAGGGGCACTATTATTATATCAGTATAATGTAAATTATTTAATTGGTGCATGGAGGTATTGTAGTAAAATACCTCCATGATTAGCACCATACATAAAAGGGAAGTTCATTTGTTTCTATCTGATTGTTTCCATTGACAATACGAAAGAATTACTTCCTTGTTACTAATGAAAGCACAATGATGAAACACACGAAATGCAGAAAGGTATGATTCCATTTATAAAAACGTGGCAATTAATAATTATTGTAATCATCTGAATTATATAATATTGCCTCGAAATGTGTTTAATTGTGAGGTCATACTGCACGAATGGCACAGTGACCTACAGTACGCCACAGAATGTCCACAATAATAGCAGATATTATTTAATGTTTTGTCTGATTTTTTTTTCTGACCGTAATCAGCCAATGCATAATAAAAACCTTACAAAAAAACAACGTAACAAGGGCCCGCGAAAAAGGCATAAAAACACTGACAGCTGGTGCAGGGTGGATTCGTTTCCTTCCTGGCCTTCGACTTCATCCATCATCATCATTCAATATTTTGATCAAAACAAAAATATACTAAGAAACACTCACCACTCAGATTGTCATCGTTTTCATTCCTTGGTGTTGAGGACATAACTGCAGACAAAAATGACACTTTTATCTAGAAAAGATTTCTACTCTATCTAGGCCCACTCCCTTCCTCTCCACTAATAAATAGTAAAACGAATGTTTGTTTACATGTACGCCAAATCGCAACAACTCTGACTGGTCTTCCACGTAAAAATCTAGATTACTGCTGTGGCTGTTGCAATGTTTTGCTTCCGTTTTTACACGGGGGTACCACTGTTAAAAATAATGGTACCAAAATTGTACACAATTACCACAGTAGAGAATTCATTATGTAATAATTGATTATCTTTTATAATAAATTTTAATTATAACATATCTAGATTTTTGTTAATATTATTTTTTTAAAATCAAACTTATTGACTTACAATATAGGAGTGTTAATCTGCTTATACCGGAAACTAATTTACATGCATAACGAAAGCAAAGCCAATCAGGTGGCATCGCATCGACTGATCAAAACAATGACGTAAATAGTCACATGCTTAAGCAGCATCAAACAAGATCAATCGGGTCAGGTCAGTCCGTACACCAGGTCAGGTCATGCAGGCCTGCATGCAGAGCAGAGTGAATAAGAGGCACGTTTTTGTGAGAAGAAAATGGCACACAAAAAAGCAAGTGGATTCTTGCAAAGTGTACTGCAAAATGGAGTTGGTAGATATGTATGCCAACTGCAAAGAATTACACTTCAATTTAGCAAGACATCTGCAAGCAGCAAGGGAGCAAGGTTAGGCCTAGGCTGGTTTGTAAAGTGAGGAGCTAGGCCTAGGCTGGTTAGGCCTAGCCTACTCGCCAGTAGTAATAAATAGTACTAGCCTACACTACTTGCTGTACTTTATCTAGCTACGAACGAGGCCCTAGCTAGCCTAGGCCCATTCATTCCAAGGCATAACAGAGTACTGTTTATGGGGCCCATGCTTGTTCCTTATTGACTCAAGCCTACCCTAGCTAGGATAGGACTCGGAGGATAGTTTATTACACACACACACGCCTCCCTCACACATGCACACACAGCCCATTCATCATAATTTTATTATTATATGAGCCATCGTCTTCTCAACAATGAATGATGTCTTGACATCGAGACACATCAGTCACAGAATTGGATTGGGGAGGGTTGGTGTCAGATACCCTACATTACTGTAATTAAAACACTGTACTGTATTGTGTAATTTGTAACCTATTTTTTCCCATTTTCTACTCTTTCTTGGCATTCCATTGGTGTTAAATTTTTTAATGTAGAGGCAAAACAGGGGAACGTTCCCCCACCCCCATTGGATCCACCCTTGCAGCTCCTGTTTCCGACAGACAGAGATTCTCTGAATCTGACAGTGATAATTATCAATCCCACACTTTGAACAATGAACATCATTTTAATGGCTATGTAAAGGTGGCCAGAGAAGATTGAGGAAGTTGTAAAACCAGATGAACACACATGTTAATTTTATTTACTTTGCTACAGGGATTATATTGAACAAGAAGTAATAGATTTTGCAAACAAGCACCCTGAAGTTGTTCTTTACGTCACCCCTCACAATAAGTATATACATCCAAGACTAGTTGCAGAATATTGTAAGTCTTATATTTTTATTAAGGCAACAGATATTGTTTATTTTACGATATTTTTGTGTTCAGCATTTTGGCACATATTTAAAATGATGTTCATCTTAAAAGAAAACTTTGTTCTTCATTTTGGTTTCAGTGAATGGTTCACGGAATGTAATATCAATCTCAAATTTTGACATTGACCAAGTCAAGGAGGCAGTTGAGTTGGCGCGGTGTCAATCTGGCCGAGAAATTTTGAGGACTCGAAAACCATGGCAGACATATACGCCAAGTATACAAGGTGTTTGGAATCCATTCCTTAACAAACCTACAAATCTCAACATAAGAACTGTTCCAAGTGACAGCCCAACTGATGTTTTCCCAAAGAAGCAAATACTTAAAGGAAAACAGGGGAACGTTCCCCCACCCCCATTAGATCCACCCTTGCAGCTCCTGTTTCCGACAAACAGAGATTCTCTGAATCTGGCAGTGATAATTATCAATCCCACACTTTGAACAATGAACATCATTTTAATGGCTATGTAAAGGTGGCCAGAGAAGATTGAGGAAGTTGTAAAACCAGATGAACACATGTTAATTTTATTTACTTTGCTACAGGGATTATATTGAACAAGAAGTAATAGATTTTGCAAACAAGCACCCTGAAGTTGTTCTTTACGTCACCCCTCACAATAAGTATATACATCCAAGACTAGTTGCAGAATATTGTAAGTCTTATATTTTTATTAAGGCAACAGATATTGTTTATTTTACGATATTTTTGTGTTCAGCATTTTGGCACATATTTAAAATGATGTTCATCTTAAAAGAAAACTTTGTTCTTCATTTTGGTTTCAGTGAATGGTTCACGGAATGTAATATCAATCTCAAATTTTGACATTGACCAAGTCAAGGAGGCAGTTGAGTTGGCGCGGTGTCAATCTGGCCGAGAAATTTTGAGGACTCGAAAACCATGGCAGACATATACGCCAAGTATACAAGGTGTTTGGAATCCATTCCTTAACAAACCTACAAATCTCAACATAAGAACTGTTCCAAGTGACAGCCCAACTGATGTTTTCCCAAAGAAGCAAATACTTAAAGGATTCCCAAAGGAAAGACTGGAAGAGTTGGCAGTAAAGGCTGGTTTGTCATCAACCAATGTAAAGCCTGATACCCAGTAACCGATTGTTTAGATATTTGTGGCATTCAAGCAGTGCGAGACGTACATGCAACAATCTGGCTGCCACCAACAGACAATGTTGCATAGGAAGTGGAGTTGGAATCGCTTTAGTCTGTTAAGTGACTATAAAGATAGTGTTGTCATCATTGGACAGACATAGAGTATTACTATGCTATATCCCAAAATCCTACAATTTTGTGTATTGAACATTCAGAAGAGAAGCTTATTAGCCTCCTTTAACCTTATAATATAAACTTTAGTCACTAAAACAGGTATAGAGTACTACAGTGTTGCGTCACAATACCATGCGATACTACTCCGTTGCTATCGGCGACACAAAATGCGTTCAACCGGACACCAAATTTTAATTGATGATTAAATGTGTGTTTGATAACGAATATAATGCTTTTGTGTTTTTAGTACATTTTGATGGTAAATTATTAGGTTTTAAAATGCCTATTAACCAACGTCTTGTTGACAACAAAGGGCACCACCTGCTGTTGTGACGACACAACTGTTGTACTCTGTTTGTCCAAATTTGTTTATCAAAAGATTGGTTTAACACGTTTGTCACAATAATTATGATAAAGGTATATAATATTTAACAAGCTCTCTCCACCCCACAGGAACATATACTCTATGTATGGTATGTATGTATGCTGTATGCAGCTATAATCAGCATATTTTGTGTTTGAATTTACCATGTACAGTATTCACTTGTACTTCTAGGTGAGAAATAATCATAGGTGAAGTGCCTTGCCCAAGGACACAAGCAAAATGCACATCAAGGGATTGAATCTCCGACCTCAAAGTTAAGAAGTAGAATTGCCACTGTTGCTCCAATTTTTTACTTTACACTCTCAAACCAACTGTTGTAAATTTGTCTTCAGATTGACAACTCATAATGTAAAGGGAAAATGATTGTACAAGTATGTATTACAGAAATGTTGATGCAATAAAAACAAGTTTGTACTGTACAACTTTCTTGCATTATCGGATTTATTTTCCTTCATTTTACATATTGAATTTAAAAAAAATTAAAATCACAGATTCTATAATTATTTACTGTGAGCCTAAACGTATTTAGCATAAAACCCTCAAAGTTTAATAAAATGTATGATCAAGCTGTGGTTGCATCGGATTAATTTTGGCCAAGGCGAACTCCTACTGCTGTCCACACTAAAATTTTGAAATGCATGGCGATTCAGCAATGCGTGCAATATTATCCCGAGTCATCCTCTTTCCATCAGGTTCATGCTCAGGAAACAATGCCTGGTTAAACTCGTGCGCGTCTTGGTAATTTGATCGAATAGAATGTTACCCAGTTTGCTCGCACTGGACCTGGTACATGATTAGTTACCAAAATTCATCCAATGTGAACACATCTTGACTCTAAATGGATTCTGTTTTGTTGCCATTACAGATGGTCGGTTTTTGGGCCAAAAAAAACATGGAGGTTTTCACACATAGGGCTTCAATATCACTGCCAGGCCGCAGTTTGCCCACCAGTATTCTGTGATGTTATATTAAAACAGCGTGGCCTGCCTTTCTCTTTGATGTTCGTGGTTTGTTACCGTTACTTTATACAGTACCATAGTTTTCAGGTCAGCATTGAAGTTCCATATTTGGAAACAAGATCCTGAAATTCTGCTTGTATGAAGTCCTCTATAGTACATGTCTGCAACAAGAAATTAAAAAAAATCATATTACAATAAAAATTTGTAGACCTATTAAAATCATGTAGGCCAAGAGGTCACTAGAATTTGATATTGAAATTTAGTCAACTTTTACCTGATGTTTTTTGCTTGGTGCTTTTCCAATAAGACTTTCAATTGTTGGATGAAAATTCATTTTGGATGGATCAAACATTTCACAAATATTTACTGGAGTCCTGTAAAGCAAAATTGATATCAGAGGTAGCCACTATAATTATAGTTTACATAATACAGTAGTTTTATGCAATAATAAAAGAAACCCTTTTTTAACAAAAATAATTTCACTTTAACAACAAAAAAGTCTGGCCTAAACAGACAAACAATGGTGAAGTCATAACCTCCGTGGCAGGGGTAATGACGAAAACTACAACATACCGTCTTGCTAATTCAGCGTCCAGACTACCTGCTCCTGTTACTGGGCAACCCTTCAACAAATGCTGGGCATACAAGTGCACACTTGGATGATAATGTTTCTACAAGAAAATACATGTATAGTAGAATATAATAGTGTGGTACATCAGTTGCTGTGAACTGTGTAAAACAGACATAAATATTATGTAGCCTTAGTAGTTTACTATCTATTTCATTTCCCAACACAACAGTTCATTACTGTATACCAATGTCACGGTCATTACCCATTAACCTCTGATAGTATGCTTCCCCACATTTTGAAACTACTTGCCGATACCTAAAATTAATATCCACTTCTCAGAGCATTTCCTGTTAGTCATTTCTAGGAATTTTTATGAACTTTGTCCTCTATTCACGGTCAAAATTTTTTGAAAATAACAAACACCTTCATTAGATGCAGTTCCCACAATGCTGTGTTCTGTGCACAGCAGTGCTCTGGCTCCATCAACTCTGGCTGGTACACCCCACTTCCGGAGCTCTCATTGTCCAGTAGTAGGTCACTTCTTGGGTATGCCTGTGCCACAAAGGTCAAGAAGAAAAAGCAATTTAATGATTTAAAAGTACAAATTCATTTTAAGTTCATTCATGGGAAACCAAAGTGTGGGAGGTTAACAAATAAACATCTTGAATTTTTTCGGGAAAAAAGTACTCAGAAACGCTGTATATACATACTGTAATATTAATTTAAATAATCATAATGAACATGATTTTGAACGATTTTTGCTAGGGTGTGAAGGTAGGAAGGTAGGAGAATAACCCATAACTTGCAGCGTCATTGTGCTAAATTGCGTATGGACGTGGTCCATGACTACCTAGCTGCCGTAAATAGACACTTCATAGTACTGTAGATAAATTTTCTCATCATTCCACAAGTTCTTATCCAAGAAGACTAGTTTCTACCAACTGAACTATGGGCAAGGAGTGGCTGGAACCAGCGCCGTTGTTAAGGCTGTAGCTAGCGGTGCCCCTGCCTTACCGCTCAGCCACTCGACTCGCCGAAAGGCATGAATCTAGGCTAAGTTGATGAAAAGTTCAAACTAAAATTCATTCAGTACCACTGTAATGATGATAATTAAAAAATTAATTGTATAATAAGAGTACATTTGTCAGGACCTTTAATTACCCAAAAGGGTTAGAAAATTATTTTTACTCTGAAGACATCTGTACACTCGAAGCAAAGTACAGTGTTCCCTCCAAAAACTACGTCTTCGAAGAATCAAATAACAAATCTTCAATCACCAAGAAGACCAACCCCAAGATCACCTTTAACTTTTAGGTCCCAAAGATGGTCTCGAATTGGAAGCAGACAGTTGAATTTGTATTTATTTAAGTTAGTTCACCTTCATAGCTTGTATTGCACATGCAAGAAATGCCATTGCTGCATTAGGTAGTGACTGGAGCGATGCTGCAGTCAGCCGTTTGATGAAAGCTAGGACTCGTTGAATGTTTACAAGTTTTCTTTTCTTGTTGATCATCACATCCAGACATTCAAGAATTATTCTTGCATCATTACTGCTTTGACCTTAGAAATAAATCAGTAACATTAATGGCACTAAATATATATGCTAGCTCTATAAACAGAACAAGAGTAATAAAAGTGTCATCTATTATCATTATTGTCATTGAAGTGATTCATTTATGGGGATCATGCTGAAGCCTACAGGCAGTGGCCATGTTAAACCACACCAAACGCTGTGGTGACCCAGCACATTAAGTCCAAATCAACGACAACAACTCCACAGATCCATTTCTGCATGTTGAAATACAAACATCATGTTTTTCCATCATAAATTTTAGTTACAAAAATAAAATTAATACTGTATTGAGTTTGGTATTAACACTTTTGTCTTATTACTGTTATCTGAGGCCCATGTGCCTAAACAGATAAAAAAAAAAAGTAAATAAATTGAATATTATTTATTATATGACCATATAAGGAGTTAATTAACATAAGGAAATGCACTGTTTACCTGAGGATGTGCACCTGTCTCTTATACACATCTAGATGTGTATAAGAGACAGATATTATGTAGCCTTAGTAGTTTACTATCTATTTCATTTCCCAACACAACAGTTCATTACTGTATACCAATGTCACGGTCATTACCCATTAACCTCTGATAGTATGCTTCCCCACATTTTGAAACTACTTGCCGATACCTAAAATTAATATCCACTTCTCAGAGCATTTCCTGTTAGTCATTTCTAGGAATTTTTATGAACTTTGTCCTCTATTCACGGTCAAAATTTTTTGAAAGCATGGTCGTGTACAGGTGATTGTAGAACATAGTGGGGTCAATGTTAAGGACTTCACCTTGACCAGATAGTATATGCATAGCAGTAAGGACACAGTGTAGTGATTCCCTATACTGAAGATCCTACTCAAAGACAAACAGATATAATACCAATGAAATTATATATCAAAACAGATATGGATTTCAACATAAAACATGTTTATATTAATATACTATATACTGATAAACATTGCCATCATCTGACACTATAAAACAAAACAAAGTTATTGGATTTGCTATGGTGGAATGCAAAATACAAAATCTAATTAACATAAATATTATTTACATACAGGTGGCTTTCATATTTGAGGAACACTTTATTCAAAATGCTAATGCTGAATTGCAACTAATTTACATTAATTATATTCAGAGTTACTTGTTTGAGGCCTTTAATCCCAAAATCAGAGTACTGAGTATTTGAGTAATAGCATAAGAATGTGGCAATATTGTATACTTTAGTACAGAGAAACCGTATTTAATACTTTTACCCATAACTTTGGTAATAGTAAGTTGATTCCAGAAAATGACCCATCATTTTAAAGCTTATAATGTGGAGAATAAAGTATATTAAAAAGTAAATTTCATTTTTTGGTCACATGCTGGTTTTGGGATGGCAAGCCTCATATATGATAAAAATGAGTTAACCTACCCCGGATTCTATCAGAGAGTTGAGAACTTGTACAAGATCGTCAAAGAATTCTAAGTTGATGAGATGGGCGAACTTAGCTAGGCCTTCAAGAACCGATGGCATCAAAGCAGATTTCCTACTCTTCTTTAGAATTCTAAAATATGTTGTGAAAACGACTTGGATAGTATCGGTGTGCTTGTAAGAAAAAAAGAAATGACACAGTTGTGTTACAAATAGTAAATTAAAAATATTTCTAAATTGTTAAATATATATAATTGTTAAATTTATATAATTTTTTATGTAATTTGTAAGTATTCATTCTTGATTTGTATACATGTATTTTAATGTTTTTGTGCAATTTCATAAATTGTAATTTGTAAATGCAATGATTTTAGCCTTTGGCTACTTTTTGTATTTTGTTCATACCAGAATAAATAAATAAATAAACAATGATACAGTCTTGAACATGTGACATGCCTAAATATGGTCATGATGACATCACATCATGACCATATATAGGCACACCATGACTATATATGGGCATACAACAGTTTGTCAAGGAAAATTTGATAATCTAGACAGAGTTTACTGATGTGGATGAACCTACCAACTTCAGTTTCTCTTTCTTGTTTTCTGCTGCATTTGCTGCTTGTAGTTCCACTTCCAATTTCTCCAGTTGTTTCTTATGCTGCCATGAAAAATAAAATTTTTATATAAAGTAATAATTAATACAATCTAATCAGATTGTAATAATTTTTAAACAATATCCAATTATTCAGATAAGTAATTAATGTATTAAACCAACTTCACTCCTTGTGAAGTACTTCATTCGCACTTAATGAATCTGATTCACTATCCAACCACATACCATGGACTGAAAGATTCAAATTAATATGTTAAAGACTTACATACTATTAAAACCAACAAGACCTCTAAGCGCATCACATTGGATAAAGCACATAATGGAACACATACTCAGTTCCTTGGGGAGAATTCCATAATGTTGCAGCTGTAATTAGTACCCACTTGTACTCCTGGGTGGAGCCAGACGACAGTAGGCAAGTTCCTTGTCTAGTCCTTGACACAAGCGAAATTCACAGCGAGGGAATGAACCTCCGACCTCAAAGCAGAACCACAACCGCTGCACCAAACCACCAATAAAACTGCCAAAGGACACAGGCAACGGTCCAACCCCAGATTTGAACTTTTGATCTTTATCTAAAACTTGGTTTCTATACAATTGTTACATACTGTCGCCAACAGCTTTCGTTGATGCTGATTAGTCGGTTGAATCAGGGAGACTTCCTGATTGCGTCGGGGATTGCTACGCACTACGATTGCACTGAAAGCACTGTAGCGGCAGTGTAGCGATTTTAAGAAAACCAGCCTTCAGAAGCATAGTGCTTCACCACTGTGCCACCTCATCCATTAAGTTACAATCACTTTAATAATCAGATTTACCCTTCTCTGTGACCGTGACAAAGCCATCTTCTTTTGTTTACGATCCAACACTTTCTTTTTTCTTTCTTCATTGTGATCTTTAACATTTACTTCTTTTATTCTTAATGACAGAAATGTATCCAGCACCTTTAAAATTAAAAGAAATTTTTAATAATCAAAAACTGGCAATGATATGAAATCAATAATAAAAATTGGACCACAGTATAGTATAATATATGGCAATGAAAATAAATAAATAATAACAATATATTAATATATGTTCCTATGCAGCCATTCTGGTAAAATACTGTACCATAAAACTTTGAATTGAAGCCCAATGGGCTTAATCTCGAGAAGAAGCCCATCTCGAATTGAAGCCCCCTCTTTAGTTTGCAAAATTAGCCTTTAAGATAGCAAGGGCTACTTTTCGATATAGTACAGTACATACACTGTACATGAATTTCAAAAAAGATAATAAATTAAAACACAATTGGTTATACAGTAGTTTTAGTTGATTTAATGCCGGTTAATATCATCTATGATACAGAATGATGTTACAGTGGCCCTATTTATTGTTTTATAGTACAAATTCCAAAAACTTACAGCATTCATTTTGAAAAGAACCCCTCCCTTTACTTCGCAAAAGTAGCCCCGAAAAGAAACCCAACTCAAAAAGAAGCCCATTCAAACTTTTGTAATAAAAAAGAAGCCCAGGGCTTCAATTCAAGGTTTTACGGTACTACACTATTTGTAATGATGTATAGAAACCAATAATACAGATCCAAGACTTTTGTTATTAAAGAGAGCTCAAAATATATATTTTTTAAATTCTTAATTTCGGTAAAAAATTTAGGGCCTTTTTAATGTCCTCTGAAACTATAGTCGTTGCATTTTTTTTAACATTCCCTAGACTCAAATTATCATTCAAAGAGGTCAGACATGATCTGGCTTCTAGTCTTGGATGGATGGACGCATATGCATGGATTTCTATTCTAGGTTTCTATTGCTTTACAGCATAGAAACCAATAATAATTCTGTAACAGGATAATAATACAAACCTTTGGATCAACTTTGTAGCTCTTACTACGAACAAGTTGACTGATAAACTTGACAGCTGCTAGTGTTGAATGTCCTGCTAAATCCTGTCTGAATATTGTCTTCATGGTCTCACAACATCTGTCAGATATCTGAGGTAAACAATATATTGTTTTACCATTGGGGTAATTACTATTAATATATTACATCTTATAACTTATTAATACTGCAATTACATGTAAAATGCAGATTAATAATATTGAATACAGTATATACAGAGATTCAACTGAAAGCAAATGAAATTAAAATTTTAAAATACAAATGTCACAATTCTAAGTTCATATAAAATTATTTAAAATTCCTTTATTAGGTTAATATATATCAAATGCATGTGCAACATCACAACCAATCACAGGATGAATAGCTTAACATGTTTCCAGGCATTAATATATGCAAAATCGTTGTGGGACCTGCAGCTTACCTCTTTATGATCACAAGCCATTAACGGTACAATTACAGAAAGTATGTTGTTGTGAAAGTTGAAATGTGACAGACTAGCTGCGAGGTCACACAGGCATTTGCTGGCAACCACCGCAAGCTTCTCCCGAACACCAATTGATTTTCCATGCTCTTCCACTTCCTCTTCCGTCATCTTGCTCAATCTTTTTGGCTTCATAAAATCTTAAATATTAAATTTCAAGCATTTTTTTCTTACTTTACTTCAATAAATAAATGAATATCAAAAGTTATAATTTGATCAATTCTACCCATAAACTTCTTTTCATAAAGTCCAGAAATACCCCAGCACAAAATTAATCTTGTGGCACTAGACATCCCAAAACCAGAATCAGTGATAAAAATATGAAAATTAACATTTTAATATATATTGACTTACTGTTGCCAAAGTTGTGAGTAAAAGTACTACGGCTTCAATGTACAACTGTCACATTCTTATGCTAATTACTTAGTTTAAAAATTAGCGACAGTACGCTGGCTTTGGAATGGCAAACCTCATATGTGCTTACATTCATATCACGCTACACATAATACATAACATATAAATGCAATTTATATGGTACTGATGGAGCAGAAATGAAGCCTTTAGAATATAAACCTGCAAAAGAACTTACCATAATGTGGTATTATAATTTAAATGCCCTAAACCCATGTTTTGACATTAGCTAAACTATTTAATGACAAAAACACATTTTTGCCAAATTCCAGTACCAAACTATTTTAAGACAGTATGCTGGCTTTGGAATGGCAAACCTCATATGTGATTACATTCATATCACGCTACACGTAATACATAACATATAAATGCAATTTATATGGTACTGATGAGGCAGAAATGCAGCCTTTAGAATATAAACCTGCAAAAGAACTTACCATAATGTGGTATTATAATTTAAATGCCCTAAACCCATGTTTTGACATTAGCTAAACCATTTAATGACAAAAACACATTTTTGCCAAAATTCCAGTTCCAACCTATTTTAGGTTCATTTGATATACAGTATTCAGCATCACATTAAAAACATTCCAGAGTAATAAAATATCGTATACACACACAATTCAATTTCCAATTTTGCAGAAAATAATAATCAGAACTTGTAATAAAAATTTATAAGAAGGAACAGATGCCATGCATGAACCATAAAGTTCTAAATATTAAAATTCCACTGGGGTTCATAAAAACAAGGATATAAAAACAAAACATACACAGAGGATTACCATTAAGGAAATACAGTACAAAAAAATATGGCTATCTGAATTCAGTAGAAGGTACAATGCATCTCACTTTGTAGTATCATGTCTCATATAAGAATTTGTTTCTTGAAAAAATAACTTTTTTTTCCATTTTATCTGTACATTCAATAAACTATTAAAATCTTACTTTTTATTGTAAGTTCCAAAAATTCAAGATAATGCTTAAAATATTTAAGCAGTCCTTCTTCAAAATCTCGCAGAATTTTCACTCCCTTGCTGAGCTGAAACAAGAAAAAATAGATCATTTTCTAATATATATTCATTCAAGTCTTAAAAAAACAATTGTTAAATATAGAATTAGCAAGAAAGGAATCAAATCAAAATCAAATTAAAAAATATAAAATCAAATGTTAAAACCTCGCTTATTTTTTTTTCTGCACACCATTTTGTCAGATGAATGAATGAAATAAAAGAGAATTATTTATAAACCAACCTTGACCTGGTTTGCTTTCTCTCCCCATTCTCTAATTCTGTATCCAGGAACGATGTCTTTGAAGACTTCTAACATTGACACCATCACTAGTTTTCTGATGGTTATCATAATCTCTACATCATCTTCATGTAAAATCATGCACAGGGCCTTCAGACGATGAGTCTGTTCAAAAATTGAAAAGAAAAAGGTTTGGGATTACGACATTATAGCTGGTGGTTAAAGCGTGCGCCTTTTAATCCCGTAGTTCTTTGTTCAAATCTTGCAGACTTTTTTTTTATCAGGACTGAACAACCCTCCAAATTTTAAGCCACAAAGCTTTATTGTGCATATTTTTTACAATTCATATTTGCTTGATGTGGAAATCTAATATAGACATCCAATGCTCTCCCTGTGTTTCAGCTAAATTGCTGTAATGCAAGTATAGTCAGCGCACCGTCTTTCAGATGATCCCATGGGCAATATTCTGGCCCATGTGCATGTTAGAGAACACAGTACACTTTTCAGGAAAGAGCAGAGGATTATCTCCAGGTGAACTGGCCAAATTACCACAAAAAAGATTCCATTGAAATTGAGCCCTCTTTATTATCCAAGTTTATATTTTTTTAATTTATTTATTAAAATTTTTATTAAATATTAAATTATTAAATATTTATTAAAATTTATTTAGTAATATTATTCTTGATGTATTTCACATCGAATAAAACCAAAATGTGATTTAAGCTCTGTCCACACTATCACATTTCACTTAACAAAAAACTGTTGTATGCCCATATATAGTCATGTGCCCATATATAGTCATGATGTGCCCATATATAGTCATGATGTGCCCATATATAGTCATGATGTGCCTATATATATTTAGGCATGTCACATGTTTTTGTTAAGTAAAACTTGTTAGTCTGGACAGGGCTGGGCTTATACCGAGAACTCGGGATCCTGAATGATGCCATTGGCGAGTACTGCCACTTCTTTCTTCTTGGCTTCCAGTTTCTGCTGTCTTCTAGCATAAAGCTCAACGGTACTGAGAGTTGGTAGAGCCTTCACAACATGTTTAACTAAAGAATGAAAAAAAAAGTTCAATATAAATTCATATTGTAATTCTTTATGTAAATTTTAGCTCCATTGAGGAGCTCTAGAAACAAGTGGCTGATTGATTAATAGTTGACTGATTAATAGATTTATTTATTTATTTATTTATTTATTTATTTCGGTATATGATTTGCAATCTGCAGTGAATGGCTGAATTTGACTGTATTACATTATAAAAAAACATATAAATACAGGCAATATAAAACCTATAAATACATTGAATAGAGGGATTGGAATTGAAATTGATTACTATATACATTAACATTACAAAGTTTGAAAGTTCAATATACAAATTCATCAAAATTACCACATGAATAATATAAATATTTATCAAAAAATAAATCCTTAATTACACATTATTAATTTTAATTATATAATATATATATATTGCCAGATAATTGCCAGATAATTGCATAATATATATTAAATTCTTAACTAATGTTAACTATTGATATTTAATTTTTAGATCATTCTCAAATCTACTGTTTCTATTATACTGCCCTCACCAGAGCTTTTGAGATTGTTTACAGATAAAAAATCAAACATGATGATGGTAGTCTATGATTGGATACCTGGATAAACCGACTAATTGCCTATTTTCTCCCAAAAGAGAACACCCCTTGAAAAATAATATAGCAGTTGGATTCTGGCACCAAGCACAAACTATGCATCGTCCTCACATTTTTTCCAAATGAATTCTTGATACTTACCACCTTCCTCACTTGGTTCATCTCCTGTCACAGAATTATCCAAAATCTCAGTTTTCTGTTCCCATCGATATTCCAGACCACTTTTATGTTTAACTGGAAGGAGAGCTTTCATTTTCTTCCTTGGATCTGTTTCTTCCATCTCCCTCGGTGCCTGTTCGTACTCTTCTAGTTGGTTTTCCTTTTCCCATTTCCGTTTACGTTGCTGATGGTTCAGATTTCTGAAGTGGAAACAGAGTTTAAAATTTTGTTAGTAAAGGAGTACGGCATTGCAATTTATCTATGGTAATTCTTGATTGTAAAAAGCCAGATAATTGCATAAGCATATTAATTAACAACTGGAGGATACTACAGTAATATACTGTATAAACACTTGTATTCATTCAAATTTTAATTGTTTAGGTGAATAAAGCTGTGTTTCATCTAACGAAGCTGGCTAGTCAAAAAAATTGTGTCTCGATTAAATGTGTTAGTAAAACCACGGTGCTTGCCTATTTATTTGTTTTTATTGATTAATTGACTAATATGGCTCCTACTTTTGATCTTATCAACTATTATTTCATTAATGATGCAACAGAAGTGGAATTTTGGCTTAGAAAATTTAATAATAATATAAGGACATTCATAATGGGCCAGTATCCATCAAGGATGATCATGGCACATTGACATGTCTGAGTTATAGGCCTACTGTAGATAATAAAATATACAAATAAACAACTTTTAAAAAATGCCATTTTAGACAGTACTGTAAATGCTAGTTGTCACTTAGTGATTGAGTTTGAGAAAACAGCTTACCTATCTCGAATCTCTAACATAAATTTAGTATTTTGCCCTTCAGACTTAAAATATGAAACATCTTCCTCATCTAATTCTTCTTCACTTTCATCATCAGATACTTCTTGGTGTTCAGCATGGTTTGAGCTCTTTTGCTTTTCTGGTACATTTTTAGTTCTTGTTCTCCTAAAATTAAGTGCTGCTACATGTTTCTGATTCTGTTTTGGTTTGTCTGTTGATGATGATGATATGTTGTTTAATTCTTTGGATTTATTTTGATTTTTTCCAGCTTTTCCTGCTATACGCCTATTGAAATGTCTTGGTGGTTTATTTTTTCCAATATTCGCTTTTTTGACAAGACTTAGTTTAGTTTTGGTTGATTTTTTAATGGTCCCTGAGCCTTTCTGAAAAAAAAAAAAAAAAAAAAAAAAAAAAAAAAACAGACTTTAAACATTCTAGTCATGAGCAACCTAGAATCTAAGAAAAAAATATAGATTTGAAATTGAAATGACAATTTTAATATATTCATACTCTGCCAAACAAATTCAACTTTAAACAAAATGGTGGTCTACACTACAGTTACCAAGTGGCTAAACCTTTCTCACCTTGCTCACCTCACCAACAAGTAGGTAGTACCTACGATCTAACAAGCCCAATTAAATTTGGATCAGTTAACTGTTTTCTATTTTTTACAATAATTTCTCTAACAATTCAAGTTTTCAAAGAAAGCCATTTTTTTCTTTGTTCATTTTTTTTTTCATTTTTTAACTCGAAATACAAGGACAAAAAACAGGCCTACTAGGAGTGTAGGTTTAGCTAGAGGGCCAGTCAGGCCGCCGCAGCGCGCATCCACGCGCCGCAGCGGCCTAGGCCTACCCCTAGTTCGGATTTAAAATCTTGCTCGATTGGAGTATTTTCTAATGTAAAAATATAAATCATATTCAGACTTGTATTCATTATTATTATTAGTATAATAATGCAATTTTACCTTACTTATCCTGCCCATCGCTCTGACTTTGCTGGACCACCTATATCATTATCCATTATCAGGCCAAAAAAAACATGTCAGAATTTTTAAGTACACATGTGTGTGATCTTTGACATGAAATCGTGTTTCATTTAAAGTATCTGTATATGATATATTACTGCACAATAATTGTATGTAATTACTAGCTATATATGTGAATAATTTTAAATATTTATATGTTATGAATGGTAATATTAAATTATTTCAATTATTTTTTAAGCGTAAATAATAATAGTTACATTACATTGAATGGATCAATATTAAAGAACCCGGATGAAGGAACCATTGATCTTTGGGCATGATAAATAAGGAATACGGATAGGAATACAGTTTGCGATGTCATTCGACATGATTTTAAGTTTTGGATTTGCCAAGTCAAAGTTTAGACGTTTATCTGTTGTAATGTATTCAAAACATATATGTGTAACGTTATTATATATTTCTTTGTTATTAAATGTTCTTGTTCAAAGCTGCAATAACACCGAAGATTGTTTAAACGGGGGAGTTTGTTCTGAAGGAACATGCAAATGTAATCCTGGTTGGATAGGTGATAAATGCGATCATTGCGGTGGCAGGATTCGGTGAGTCCGTCTTCTTCATTTTTTTCTAGGACATATATGTCAACTGATCTGTTTGCTTGCCTATATGAATTTCCTGGCCTTAACCATCTTAATATGTGTTATTTTCAATTCCACCATCATCGGTACTACTACTACTACTACTACTACTACTACTACTACACTACTACAACTAGGCTAGCCTAGCCTAGTAGTAGCTAGGCTAGGTTGGTACAGTAGGTAGGGGCGGAGGCCTAGGCTCGCCAGGCGATCTTGCCTAGCCTAGCTTACCTAGGCCTATGCTATTGTTATAAGGGTTTCTGGACAAAATGGCAAACAACCAAAACGGCAATGACCAAAACGGCAATAAACCAAAACGGCAATGATAAGGGCGCATAGAAAAAATTATTATATTATCACTCTTTTAAAAAAAAAAACAAGCTAGGCCCTAGATTATTTCGATTTTGTTGGTCTGTAGTAATAGTAAATATTGTGTACAAACTGGTTTAATTTTATATTTTTTTTTTAAAGAAAATGTATTTGAAGTCACAAAATTGCATTGTTATTTTTATGCTGTTGAAATAATTGGTGCAGCAAAATTTTTTTTTTATTCCCGGATCTCATAAATTTTTCTATTTGCCCTAAGTAGGACCAGACAGACCAAAACGGCAATGTCAACTACCAAAATCGCAATAGGCATACATGTAGTTCAGTTAATTTGTATACTGTACAGTACAATACATGTAGTTTAAATCAACGCCAAGACTGAAGCGCCACCGGGCGCAGGCACCACTTTATAATTTTCTGAATCGTTTTTTTTTTTTTTTTTTACACATGTTGTTGTTTTTTTTACACATTCATGATGAATTATTTCCTTTATTTTAAAGTGTTATTTTTTTTTTCCTTGTTTTTTACTTTCATGACATAAATTGTTTAGCCTCATATTATCTGTATTTTAAGGTTTTAATTATTTAAATGTTCACTGGTTTTATATTGTATATATTAAATAGTGTTCCCCCAATCTTTCTTACTATTGAATTTGTATGTTGTATTGTCATTATTATTATTATTATTATTATTATTATTATTATTATTATTATTATTATTATTGTTATTATTATTATTATTTAATTAATGTTGTTATTCTTTAAAGTGTTTTTTTTCTTTCGCTTTTTTACTTTTATGACATAAATGGTTTAGCCTCTTTTTGTCTGTATTTTAAAGTTTTAATTATTTAAATGTTTACTGCTTTTATATTGTGATTCCCCCAGTCTTTTTACAATTGAATTTGTATGTTATACTATTATTATAATTATTATTAATGTTGTTCTTCTTTTGTATTTTTTACTCCTATGACAATTTAGCCTCATTTTCACCATATTTATCGTTGTACACTTTCATGTTCATAATTGGTTTTGTAACTGTGCCAATTTATTTAGCCGTTTTGCCAATTACCATACAGTACTGTATGTCATTGTGGAAGTGTTGCCGTTTTGACTTATTGCCATTTTGGTCTTGCCGATTTGGCCCATTGCCGTCCTGGTCTATAAGTGTTCCCGTTTTGACTTATTGCCGTTTTGGTTTTTTGCCGTTTTGACCTGTTACCGTTATGAGTACTACTACTACTAGGCCTAGGCCTACACTAGATGATAAGCCAAGCAAGTACTGGGTCTGAGTACTGTAGACAGATGTTTTGTGATGATGTTAGTGAAAGTGCAGTCTATGATAGGCTAGGTAAATACATGGTACCATAAGATAAAAAATAAAATAAAAATATTAGGCTTTAGGGCCTATACAGTATTATTTGAATTAACATCCTAAAGTTATGGTGGTTGTAACTCACCCTCATTGTCACAAAAATGTTTGTAAAACTGTAGATAAATAAAGACTGCCTTTAATAAGCATATTATTAAGCACACCTACAGTACAACAGTTTTATTTATTTAAAATGATCTTTCATGTTATTTGTTCAGATCTATTATTCTACAGTATAAATTATGTTATTGTTGGAGTACATGTATGTTGTACTTTTTACGTTAAAATCAAGTATTTTTTTTTGTTTTTTTGAAGCATTTATTTGAATTCTCTTGGCAACAAAATCATCAATTAAAAACACGGCCAATGAAGGAAGACTAAGCTGCAAGTGAATTACCTGAATTAGCTGTTACACCTGTAACAGCTAATTTCCTATTGCACCTGTAGCAAGTTAAACTAAATAAAATCCCTAAACCTACAGTACAAATAGATGTAAGCTTTTTTATGTGAATTGCGAATGGGAATACTGTATACTTTCCCCATCAATTTAGAGTTACATATATTAATACTGTTTGCTTTGCATAAACCTGGGCTGCAGTAGTACAGTATTAATAAAAGCAATTGTTTTTAATTCTGAATTACACTGGAAATTGTTTGACGATTTTAAATGAACAAAAATTTTTTTTTTTTTTTTGGAGAGACACAGTGACATTTTTGTTGTTGTGGAACCATGGAGGTATATACTCCATGATGAATCCAAGTTATTAAATTTCAATTGGAAGTGGTGAGAAAAAAGGGTTTTTTATACAAATGAATGTAAATTACAAAATTCTAATTCTTTTAAATCATATCCCCTTAAATTAATTCTTTTAGGCCCTGGTCCATTTCGACCACTGGATCAAATTTTAAAATTTAGCATTTTTAGAATGTTTATTTAAATTACTAGCTGTTATAAAGTAGGCCATGATTTTTAGCTTTAAGCTTCACTTATAGTTTGCATTCATCAGTCTAGTTCTTTTCCTTCATTTTTGATTTATCTACAGTAATATATAAAAAGTTATTTGCTCAAATAATTTCATCTGGTTTGTAAATTAGATAGTGCAAACTATATGTAAAATCAGAGCTAAATTTATCACATTACTTTGAAAATCATTTAACAATAAAATGGCAAGTAGTAGATGATGTAGAGTCAAATTCAGATTAATTTTAAAAATCTGACAAATGTAAGCTTTTTTATGTGAATTGCGAATGGGAATATACTTTCCCCATCAATTTAGAGTTACATATATTAATACTGTTTGCTTTCCATAAACCTGGGCTACAGTAGTACAGTATTAATAAAAGCTTGTTTTTAATTCTGAATTACACTGGAAGTTGTTTGATGATTTTAAATGAACAAAAAGTTTTTTTGTTTTTTTTTGAGTGACACAGTGACATTTTTGTTGTTGTGGAACCATGGAGGTATATACTCCATGATGAATCCAAGTTATTAAATTTCAATTGGAAGTGGTGAGAAAAAAGGGTTTTTTATACAAATGAATGTAAATTACAAAATTCTAATTCTTTTAAATCATATCCCCTTAAATTAATTTTTTTAGCAACTGGTCCATTTCGACCACTGGATCAAATTTTAAAATTTAGCATTTTTAGAATGTTTATTTAAATTACTAGCTGTTATAAAGTAGGCCATGATTTTTAGCTTTAAGCTTCACTTATAGTTTGCATTCATCAGTCTAGTTCTTTTCCTTCATTTTTGATTTATCTACAGTAATATATAAAAAGTTATTTGCTCAAATAATTTCATCTGGTTTGTAAATTAGATAGTGCAAACTATATGTAAAATCAGAGCTAAATTTATCACATTACTTTGAAAATCATTTAACAATAAAATGGCAAGTAGTAGATGAATTAGAGTCAAATTCAGATTAATTTAAAAAATCTGACATGTTAAACCACTGAGATTTTTTTACAATAAATGGAAGGAAATTACACATTAAATGCAGAGCAGACAACCACACCTTCTAGCAAAAAAATAAAAATATTTGCTTTGTGGTAACAGGAACTGGTGACATCATTATAAATTTACAAGGTAAATCACACCTCACCCACAGCGTGTTTTTACAAAATAGCTCATATAAAAAATAAGCATTCTTTATTAAAAATTAGTACTGTAAATATGAAAATTAGTTTCGTTAGATTAAGTGTATTTGAAACATTCTTATCTTAAACAAGGACCAAATGTTTTTATGACATGACTATAAATAATTATGCAAATAAATAATTATTCCAAATATTTGTATTAAACAAGTAATTTATCAATATTGTCACAGTTATTTGAATAGTACAAAGTCCAATATGCAGTTTAACAGCTGCAGAAACTCCATTATGTTGCATAAAGAGTGATGTAGTACAAGATCTGGTCAAATTTGTATTTGTTTACCATGTAATGTACTATCTTGGAACAATCTATAAATTCCAATAAATTTAGAAACATGAAAATCAACAAATAATTTAGAGGAATTTTACTATCTAGAATTACTAATCAACTAACAAAGCATGTTATTTTTAATGTTATGAATACAGGAAATAATTTAATTTTATTATAGATTTACTGCAAATTACTTTTAAAAATCAGCCAACTATAATGTATTAATTATCATGTTAAAGTTATTTCAGGAAATGTTGTAATGCTAATTTATATATATATTAATATATCCATAATATTTTGCAAAATACACACACACACACTTGATACTCTAGTGTCTAAATTAAATGTTAGTTACAGAATTGTCTTGTTAGTTGAAAAGGGTAAGATGGTTTTAATACTGTACATCATTAGTTAATGTTTTTACTTAAAGCATCTTTCTATAGTTAAATCATTAATAATAATAATAATAATAATAATAATAATAATAATAATAATAATAATAATAATATTAATTTAATAATAAAAATGAAAATAATAATAATACCTTGCGTTTGAACTCAATAAAAAAGTGATCTTTTAACAATGTACAGTCATACAACTTTTACAGTTTTTGGTTCTTAAATAATTAATTTATATATACAGTAGGAGGTTGGTGAGTCACTTGATAATTGATTCTGTTCACTTTTTGACAATCCCGTCTACTTCCTAATGTGTCTGTTCTTTGTTTTGTTATGTTTGTTTCAAAGACAGTATAAATGAAATGAAACAACAATAATAATAAAATAATAAAATAATAATAATAATAATAATAATTATAATAATTATAATTATTATTGTTATTATTAAATATTATTATTATATAGAAATAATATTATTATTATTATTATTATTGCTGCTGCTATTAATTATTTTTTATGGTTATCTTGTTACAGATTGAATTCCACGTCAGGAATTATTCATGAATCTGCAGGTGACTATTCTACAAATAGTAAATGTACTTGGCTATTAGACAGTGGCAAGTAAGTAAACAAATACAATAGCATGTTCATTATAAAATATTTAAAGCAAAGCTCATTACTTTCTTGTACAGTAGATCCATTAAAAAGCAAATGTCATTTAGAGCTGTCAGTGGTGTCTAGTGCCTGTTGTGGGTCTGTGATCCTAATCAGACCATGGAAGTATAAATATACTTGCTGTGTTTGCATTCACAGGAGATAGTACATGCAAAGCAATTGAAAGGATATGATGTAAAGTATGAGTAACTATATAGCATATGCATCATACAATCCTGTGTTTTTTGCATACAGTATGTAGACCATTTGATTTGCTAAACAGTGATAGTTTCAGGGTTTTAAAACATCCGTAAATCAGTGAAAATTGTTCATCTGTGCATTATTGGGTAAAATCTTAATATGCAGAATTTTGCATTTCTCTGTAGAAATGTATTTGTATGTGGACTGTTGCATTTTATTCCTATGTAAAATTGTAAAATGAATTTTAAACAATAACAACAAATTATACTGAATACTGACTAATGTTTTGATTTAAATTTTAAGAGGTACCAAATTTTTTCAGACAGGTCTTTAACGTCAATTGCTGAAAAAAAATATTCCCTATAGAATTATGCAAATTGAGTATTAATCCTGAAAAATCAATATTTTCATCAAAATTCTGGTCCCTACTTTGCTTTCCCTTATACCTATTCATTGTTGTTTTTTTTTTTTTTTTTTTTTTTCTTTTTCAATTCAAGGCCATTTTTTTTTTTTTTCTTTTCTTTTTCAATTCAAGGCCAGGTTCAACAATAGATTTGAAAGTAGAAACTTTTTCAACCGAGTGTAGCTGGGATTACCTGTATGTGTATGATGGTGACTCAGTTTTTTCACGTCAGTTAGCTGCTTTTAGGTGAGTAATTTATTGGTCATTATTATTCAAGGATTAATCTCTCCTATTAGTAATAGTATAAAACTTGTGACATCTGATGCTTGTTCATTTCCCATACCAAAGTAAAAATAGCTATAATATCTAAAAAAATATAATGTGCGAACTGCTTATATTACAGTATGTCTTGCAGATATTTGCTTAAGTGTAGAAATTATTAGCAAATATACTTTTACTTTTTATTTTTTCTGTATTTTTTTTTTTTTTTTAAGAGCTGAGCTTATTTTAATTTTTGTACTACAGTAAAATAGTAATTGTGGTATTTTATCAGAGATGGATATGTGTGCCTTAAAAGATGCCATTATCATTATTATTAAAACAGATGTATTTTGTACAGTATTGGTTTATAGTGGAAACGTACTGTAGTAATTATTTGATTAATTTTTTACTAAATTTTTATTATTGTGCAGACGTTGAATCCATTATGTAGATAATAATTTGTCATGTCACTTTCGTTTCCATGGCTATATTTTTTAATTAGTTGCGTACCATTTTAATGGTTCAGTACAATTTTACAAATAAAGATTTTGAAAGGCAATTATTTACTGTCTTAGAATTTTAAATCTAGGTTCTGAAGGAAATGTTGTTTTTTTGATATTTTGTACAGTAGAACTGATTTTTCTAAGACAATTAAAAAGCATTTGACGAAAAACTGTGAAGCAGTTAGTAGGATACAGATTTTTGAATATTTAATGTTATTTTTATCTAAAATAGCGGGAAAAAGGGTCCACGTTTTTTCAGACTTTTATCCCCAATTTTTAAACAAAATTCTGCATCTCATTAACCGCCTGCAAGTTTTTCGTCAAGTACTGTATGCTTTTCGTGCCTTAGTAAAATGAGTTCTCCAACGCAAAAAAAAAAAAAAAAAAAAAAAAAAAAAAAAAAAAAAAATCCTCTGGAGCTTAGCTTTAATACTCAACTTAATATATACTATAAAAAACACAACTGCTTTAAACTTCATTATAAATGGGCGAATGCCGAATTTAGTACAGTGGCCTTTACGGCCTCAAACCAAACATGTTTCGGTACTGTAGGTCAACTTTCGTCAAGTGTGCTTTTCATGTGTTCTGCAACATATTTAAAAAAAAATTTCCTATGGAGCTGGGCTTCAATACTCAACTTAATATATACTATAAACAACACAACTGCCTTAAACTTTATTATAGGCGAGTGCCTACATTTAATACTGTGGCCTTTATGGGGCCCAAACCAAACATGATTCGGTAGGTCAATTACCATCATCAGTAAAGAGATTTCACCTGCAATACACATACACTGTACATAGGAATAACAATTAACAATACCAAGCATGACATGAGTTTATGAATTGGACCGTAACATCAAAATAAAACAATTATGAATAAAGGTGACCAGAATAACAAAACTTGATATATTACAGTTTCTATATTGTATAGCACATTTTGAAATCTCTTATTTACTGTAGCTTGAAAAATGACAAGTTTGTTTCTAGAAGCAAGTATCATCTTCATAATTTTTCCCATGTGATAGTTTATTTTATTGAATTGCTTCTTGAGACATTGATTGAAGTGTGTAGGAGGAAAGTGAGTAGCGCCACACTCGAAGGCAATCAAACAATTAGCATACTAAAAATCCCTCATGAGAGCCCTGATATTTGAAATTGATCTTATCCTCCAAAAACGAATACAATTAATATATTTTCAGAGCAACTTTGAGACTGACTAAAGCCAAGTATAAGTGTTCAGTAGATAATGTAAAGCCATGGGGATGGAATATTGAATGATTTATTTAGTATTATAACACATTGACATTTCATTGTTTTTTTTTAGGGTTTTTATGGTGTTGTTTTTTTTTTTCTTTTACTTACAGTGGTCTTATAAAACATAAAGATGTTAATGTAGATCATGAAATGAGGGCTACGTCAGGCTATGCATATTTACATTTTTATAGCGATGCTGCATATACCCTCGACGGATTTAATATATCTTACAGGTATGCAACTCTTAAACCAACAACATATTTTCCTATCTTATCAGTAAAATTCTCTCAGCTTCATTAACATTAATGAAAATTCTATACAAATTTTTTTAATTCATTATCTTAGACCAGAAATTTGCTAACAAAGGTTCTGACATGTCCAACGGAGGAGTCTGAACCTACAGTAGGAGCTAACTAGAGCCTCGGTTGACGGCTTAGAAAAAGAAATATAGGGTTCACAGGGAGAGTTTTTATGGCTTAGCATACATAGTATGGTCAAAACTGTGCTTTTAGACCACAATATTTGAGATTACCAATCAAAAAAACATTATTTTGATATGAAGCAAATTAATATTTTAATTTTTGATTCAACGACCTTGTTTGTGGCGTATTATGAGTGGAAGGTTCAGGCCTGTCCGACGGGAGAGGGGGAGGGGCAGATGCCCCGGTAGCACCACCATTGGGTCAGGCCTGTAGGTCCTTAGGCATACTTTTTGATTAAATGCAAATTATTTTACTTTTCAGTGTGAACTCATGTCCTTCTGAGTGTTCAAATAGAGGGAGCTGTACCTCCGACCTGCAGTGTAACTGTTACCCAGACTGGTATGGCAAAAGCTGCGGCCTAGACCAGTGTCCATCCAACTGTAGTATTAATGGTATTTGTAACAATAATGGCTGCCAATGTTCTGCAGGATACAAAGGTATGTCTTCCACAGTACAAGGTATTTTAATCTAGTTTCTTTTTTACCTTGTAACATTATGCTATTTATAATTAAATATAAATGTTACAAGATTGAATTATAATGACATGTTTGTGTTTCAGGCCTTGACTGCAAAACTGAACCATCTGAAGGAGTGTGGCAAGTTCGAGAGACCTCTTTAGTGGGCAAAGCATCACATGCTATGGTCATTGACAACCAGTACATTTGGAACATTGGTGGATTCTTCTTTGACAGTGATCAGTACATTGCTTTAGTACAGTAAGTATTCATGCTGGTTGTGTTTTCCATTTGGTGAACCCTAAGTTTATTGTTTCATTCCTTTCTATTTCTTAATTCTCAAGTTTAATAAATGCATGGCTATCATTTGTGGATTGATGCAATTAAGTAGTTGAAGAATTTTTTTTGGAAAATTATTAAATTATAAAATTTATCCACCATAATATCTATATTATTGAGGTATTTAAAATAAGTTTCAGTTTATTCAGTTTTATATTGTATTGTTAAAGGCAAAATATTTTTCTATATTATTTCATATATGGGTATTATATACAATGATATTGCCTTATTTGGGTATGACATGATAATAATTTATTATTATTATTATTATTATTATTATTATTATTACTATCATTTTTATTATTATGTCTTTGCCTTTATCATTGTTTCTCTGGTAGGCCTCTTGTACAGGGACATGTTACCTTTTTTGCCTACCAGACTCATTACGTTTTGAGTGAAATAAAATTATGAATTATGAATTATGCCCATATACATGTATGAGTATATTATATGTGATGATATTCCCATATTTGGCTGTGACATATAGTGTCCATATATGGACATTATATGTATATGTGTGTATTACTTTTATACAATGATATTGCCAAATTTGAGTGTGACATGATATCATGGTGCCCATATATGAGTATGGCATTATTATTATGCTCATTTATAGGCAAATCACCATCATTCAAATAGATTAAGGAAGCAAGGAATATTTATAGGAATTTGGCAGAATTATAAATGAGAGAAAATAATGTGGTGCAGCAGTTAAGATGCTCGCTATTAAATGCCAGGGATCCTGCTTACCGTATATATGCAGTTTTTTCCTTAGTGACTTATTTATTATAATAAGGCATACATGTAGTTCTGTCCTTTTCATCTTTTGTATTGCTGTAAATTACACTGATATGGCGACATTGATTATTTTCTTTCCGTAGGTGGAAATTCATTTGTTGTTAGATGAAGTAGATCCGAAATCTTAACTACTCAACTGATAGTGTTGTACAGTGCCTCAGAAATAGATATGCTGTATTTTCTCAACATATTTATATTCAATAGTAATATTTTTAAATAATTTTTTTTTAATTTTTTAGATATGATTTAGAGGCATCAGGCCAGAATATTGAAAAACAGATTTTCACTGATCCATCTACAACACCTCTTCAAAGATATGGACACTCGGCTGTACTCTACCAGGTATATATTTATTTTTAAGCATCTCTGGAGATATATAGCATCATATTATTATTATTATAAAGAGAAGATATAAAATGCTTTTATTATCTTTTCGAAGCAGGTTCTCTTGTGCAATGCATTGTGGAAAAATACTTAATTAGTACTGTGTGAGATGAATAAGAAATATCCGAATTACTTCCCAAATGAATGCAAATATGTTTCCTAGGATGATAAGGAATTTAAGTTCACTATCTATTATCAGAATCGTTATTAATATTGTCATGATAAATTTTTCTGATACTTACCTATGGCTTATATTAGTGTACAGTAGATGTGATTCATATGATTGTATATTTCTACCTTAATATGAGTCACTATATAACTATTATATCTTTGCTGAATTTAGATACATTTTCATTTGTATTTTGTTGTGATGAATTAATCGCTGGCTTCATAAATTATTCATCTGTATTTATAAAGTTTAGCTGTCTACTTATGTACGAGCCATTTCTTGTATAGAATGTGACAGAAGTATTTATCTTTATATTAAATTTTCCACAATTTCAAAGACGCAAAACATCTGTTGAGATGTGATGACATTTTTCACATGCTAATTATTTAAATGACTTTATCCTTGTGACCTTACAATGCCTTCTTATTGATTAGTAATCATTCCTCTTTTAATTTATGAGATCGTTCATGAATAAATATACGTTATCATTGAGCTATAACAGTAATCTATGATGATGGTTTTTACATAGTGCAAAAGCCAAGGACTGCTATATGTGCTTCAAATTATTTCCCAAAGTAGCATAGTTAAGACCCTGGAGCAGTATTCAATAATTATGCAGCCTCTGTATTAACTATGGAATTCACATTCGATCCTACGATTTACACAGTGTCCATTTATGCTTCTATAATAAAACCAGACAGTTTTGATTAGGATAATGATGATTATAATGACAAAGATGAATGAACGAACGAACGAACGAATATGATGATGATGACAACGATGAAGGTAATAATGAAAGCAGCAGAAATACAGTGAAAATAATGACGGTGAAATTATGAAAGATATTAATGATGATGAATATGGTAGTTTAATTCATTTGAAAGTGTCATTTATTTTTTCTTTAATCAAATTTCAATTTCCAAGGAGATAATGAGAACAAAATATTTACATGACACATATAAAATAAACAAGGAGTCGAGTAAGATAAAGAAGAGAAATCCCTGTGAAGTGACGAAAAAACAAAAAGCACTGAAGAATTACAACAAAATACAACAAATTATATCTAGACCTAACCTTTTGTACTGTGATCAGTCGTATTGATAAAGCGACCCAAAAAAATTGGCTTCACGACCCAAATTTGATGACCTGCCAAACAATATTCTATGGACCAATTTCGGGTCACAACCCATAGTTTCCCGACTAAATGCATACGTTTAATTAAGAGCAGAGTAGACCCCTTGAGGATCAATATGTTATGTATTGCAATTATGAGTATCTTATCTCTTATTAGTCCTTTTATTTTCTGTAGATATTCATCAACATTGGTTTTTCAATTATTTATACTCTGCCCCAGAATAACACTACCATTACGTCACACTTGCTTCATTCCTACTTAACCTCAACTATCACTAGAGTTCTATCACATGTTCAGGGGTGATGTTGGTGGAAAGACAACCAATGAACTGATGGCTTTTGACACATTTAATAACCATTGCATCACACCTGCTTCAACCCCACTTAACCTCAACTTTGATCTCTGATCTTATTTTCATTATCACTAGGATTTTATATACATGTTTGGGGGCGATGTTGATGGCAAGACAACCAATGAACTGTGGGCGTTTGACACATTTAATAAAACTTGGGATGTGAACTTGACTACAACTAATGCTGTAGCTGTGGAGGGGCACACAGCACATGTGGTTGATAATAGAATGCTCGTGTTCTTTGGGTTCAACCCATCCTATGGATACACAAACCTTGTGCAGGAGTATGACTTTAGTAAGAGACTGCTTTTTTAAAGTTTATTTTTACTTCAACTATATTATTTGTTTAAAGATAGGGAAAAATCCTTTCAAAATTCAGTTAAAACATAGTAAACAATATTGCATAGTTATTTGAAGTCGACAATACTACTGTATCATGTTATATTATATTTTTGTGTCGTGTATGACAATGCAACAATAAAGGGAAATAAATTGAATTGAAAAACTGTTTAAAAGGATCAATAACCTCCAGTGATACACAAGACAAAAATGTTCACTGTTTATTTTGAAGAGTTTTTTTATTATTATTATATTTATTTACTTTTATTAATGTTTATTTGTTTATATTGTTAGTTTAATATTATGATGTATAATTAGTGTTATTTTATTATTTTTTTTATTATTTTTTTGATATCTAATATTATCAGCGTTATTTTATTATTTTTTCTGTAATTTAATAGCAAATGATACGTGGAGGCAGCATGAAACACAGGGTGCTTACGTGGAAGGATCCTACGGACATTCGTCGGTGTATGACCCTAAACGGCGCAAGGTTTACCTGCATGGAGGATTCCAGAGCCAGATACCCAGTTCTGATCAATATATTTCAACTGAACTACATAGTTATGATGTTGATATGCAAGCTTGGTAAGAAGTTTTTGGCATTTATTCTCATTCTGGGACAGGGATGGAGTTATTGTAGGCAGAGGAGGGCGGGGCCACCCTCCCTTGAATTTTCCACCCAGTCTAAAGCTAATTTCACACCCTCCACCCACCCTTATTAACCCACTTTTCCATCCTTATAATCCACTCTTATTATTTAAAGTTTACCAATATTATCACGCACCCACCCCCAAATGTCTACCACCCATCCTTAGTTTTCTTCAGCTACAACTCTGCTGGGATTTGAAGCAAGCACCTTAGTCCTAAAGCTGCTTAGCACTTACTTTGTTAAGATTTAACACATCCTTGTTTTATTGGTAAAAGTTGATACTCTGCATGTATTTGATGAATCCATGACCTGGGTTTTATGTTACATTTTTTTTTGTTTCTGAATAAAGAATAATTCAATGATGTTCCATGAACATGATAAAAAATCATTAAAAAAATTAATTGTAAAATTTATTTGCTCATTTTACAGTTACATACAAATTACTAACTTGAATTTTCAAAATTTTTATAATGGATAATTATTCTAAAAATGATTCTAAATTATAGTAAAATTGTGGGTAGAAATCTTTTTAATACATTAATTTTTATGTTCAAGTTGATGATTTTTATGTTACTATAAAATAAGCAAGTTAATTTCAAAAATGATGATTGTTGGCATTTTTCATTTTTAAAATGGAAATATATATTTATATTACTATGTTATATTTACTTTTTGTTATTTACATTATTGTCAAATGTTGTTTTGTTTATGGGATTCCTACTACAAGCAGGTTGCTCTCTAGGTAATGCCACCATGTTCATTGCATTTTTAATGGAAATAAATGTTATTGAATCTGAATTTGACAATACATCAGTAACTTGTAATATACAATTATAAGTCTATTAGGATGGTCTTTAATAATGCAGATATTTAAACGGGCTCTTAGCGGGAAGGAAATTTACTCTTCTAAACTTCCCTTGTAGACCAATTGTGAGTGTACTAATTATTTTCTTGTGTTGCTTTAATTTATAGGTTTACTCTAAAGGAGAGTAGCCTGCCCAGATACTTACACTCGGCCGTGCTAATTGATGACATCATGTTTGTGTTTGGAGGAAACATGCATAATGACACCAGGAGTAGCAATGGTGCCAAATGCTACTCCAGTGAATTTATGGCCTACGATTTAGGTAGTGTCACATACAGTTTATAATAGTACAGTAAAACCTCGAATAGAAGCCCGTACATTAAACCTCTAATAGAAGCCCCATGGGCTTAATCTCGAGAAGAAGCCCATCTAGAAAAGAAGCCCCATCTTTAGTTTGCAAAAGTAATCTCGAAAAGAAACCCATGGGCTTCAAATGAAGATAATATGGGCTTCTTTTAAGATAGTACTTACAATCAGACTGACATTATCTTTAGTTATTATGATAGTGTGTCAGTATCGTAATTATTTTATTGTACTAACATGGTTAAAAATTAAAAATATCAAACAGAATTTCGAATTCCATAGTTGAAAAATGTAGTGTTGTAGCTATTCCAAAATTTACAGCATTCATTTCAAAAGAAGCCTCTTTCTTTAGTTTGCAACAGTAATTTTAAAAAGAGGCCGATCTCAAAAAGTAGCCCATCCATGGGTCCTGAAAAAAGAAGAAACCCAGGGCTTCTATTCAAGTTTTTATGGTATATATTGTATATTTCAAAAATTTGTAATGATCAACTCATCAAAACCTAATATTTATTGAAGGTTTGCATGGCGAGTATAAATAACAAAATCATGAAACTTTTGGTATACCTTGTGTAAAAAATATGTGTTTTGAGGTCAAGTTGGTTTTTCGACGTTTCGGTGCGATTGCTCTGACCATCATCAGGAGAATCAAAACTTGCTGTATATACAATTTTGTTCACAAATTCTTTACTCTAGAAAACTGCCATATCATTGCATGAACATAATTAAATTATTCTTCCAATGCTAATAATGTCAATCAATGGACTTGATAGAAAAGGAAATGAAAAACAAAGGATCACAATGAATCATATGATGCAACACTAATCATATTATTTAGGTTGAGGGTGCTATATCTTTAAAAATTTGAGGCATGTCGTGGCAAAATGGTTAAGTTGTCACGGAGGCTAATATTGAGTAAATGAGCTATAACATAAGACAGCTCAAAAAATGATCTAAAAATCAAAATTTATTTTTCACTATAGATCAAAGTTTGATGTCTAATTAATGATGTTCTAAAGTCTTAGCTCTGGAAATGGTCAACAAATTGTTTATGTTAATGTAGTAGTTAATTCTATTAAACAATGTATGCACTAATGGCAATAACTTAAAAAATGTTTTTATCTTGAATCTAGGAGTGCTGTACATTCACTCCCCAATAACTAAGGTTTAAAATATCCAATTTCAATGAATGACCCCTCATCTTAAAGGTTACATATTTGAAAAAAAACCAATAACTTGAATTTAATTTTTTGCTACAACTTGCCTCTTTGCCACAACATGCTTCATTTTTATTTCATATATATTTATAGAATGTGGTGTGTGGAGCAGTATTCCAGCCACTAGTGCGTTACCTAAGGACATTGCTCGTTATGGCCACGCAGCTGCTACTTATGAACAAAGCATGGTTGTTACTGGTGGTTTCAATGGTCAGATGTTCAGAGATATTCTCATATATGAGCTTGGTAAGTTAATAGTATCCACTTACATAGCTTGTACTATAACTTTGATAGTTTTAAACCTTATTAATTATTAAATAGTATATATTTTTTGTTGTTATTGTTATTACTATAATCAGTCTTATATAATTATCTTCTTGCTTTATCATTATTTTCATGTTACAATCATTATGGGTGGTTAATCTTGCCTATGTCAACTTGGCCTAACACAAATAATTTCCAAGTTGATTTTATGTTACATTCCAAATTGTTATATTTGGGAATAATTGACTTATTTGGATTTGGGAAATTTAAAGAGGGGGTTTTGCCAGAAAAGAGGGGGGTTTGCTAAAAAAGAGGGTTCTCCCGAACCATTAAACCCCATATACAGGCCTGTTAGTATTATTATTAATTTTATTAATATATCTCCTGATTTACTTTATTTTTTACCTTTTTTCCAGGTAACTGTTCTGCATTGAGTGAGGCAGACTGTATCCAAGGTAAACCTGGATTAAAATGTGCCTATGACATACAGCTTGAGGAATGCATTCCAGCTAGTCAAGCCTCTAGGGAGTCAGGCAACTATAGCCTGCTTTTATGTCCTCAACATGAAATGGTTGAATGCAGTTCGCTCAAATCTTGCACTGATTGCCTGGACCGGTTCGGTTGCGGATGGTGCAATGGAGAGTGTTCTAGAGAATGTCCGGCTAACGTAAGTTAGAATAGTTATTACGAGTAATCGAGAAATTGGAATTTGATTTCAAATCTGGCCAATTGCTTGCGAGGCACTATTTTCTGGTGTAGTAAAATTTGAAGATAGTAATTATCACATAAGAACACATAACACAAAACAGTACATTTGGAAAAAATAAAAACTATTATTAAATTTATAGTAATGAAAATTATAATTATGTATTTTCTTGTAGTCGACATGCCCTGAAGAGGAACTGTGCAGTTTTTACCGTTCGTGCGCTGCTTGTAATTACCATGAAGACAGATGTGTTTGGAACAGAATAAAATGCATCACAAAAGTGATTGGCTCAAGTAAGTAATTTTATGAGTTTATTCTAATATAATAATGAAATTGTTTATTCATCACTTTAATAAATAAACAATTTCATCACTTTAATACAAATTCTCTATGTTGAATTTGTATTAAAGTGATGAAATTGTTTATTCATCACTTTAATACAAATTCAACATAGAGAACATACAGAATCAAAAACATCGCATCAAGAGAAACGAATCGATAAAGGAACAGAGAAGCCCTAGACTCGTCCATATAACAGGACATGCAAGGGAGACAAAGAGGGACATTTTCACAAAGACTAGGGTTACATTACGAACAGTTAATGTATAAAAACGACGAGTGGCAGTTACTCGAAAATTAAGCCTAAAGGATATATGTATCTGTGAATACTGATATATGTGCCTGTAAGATCTTTCCCACCCCTTCAACAATTTTCAGGGCACATATTATGAATTACATAAATTTAATTTAAGCAAGAAAACAAACCTAATAAATTTTTACCAGCTATTCTTATGTATAAAATCGTCTTTTAAACAGGGATTGACATGTGTTTTTTTTCTCAAAAGCAGCCCTCAAAAAATTTTAGGAGATTCTTGTTTATATATAAAACGGTTAAATTATTATTATTATTATTTCTCAACTTATCAGTCATTCATTTAACCATATTATCCCTCAATACTGTATCTGACTTGGTATTATTTTTGAGGAAAATGTATTGTTTCCATCGAAATTAAAACCAAAAAGCCTCCAATTAATGTTTAAATGCTTTGCCAACTGAGCTAAGAGGCCAAGTCAGTATGTATGTTTTCCCATTACAGTAAGATTTTGTTAGTATTTTAAAGAATGAGTTTTAATATCGTTTTTAGGCCAACCCTCCCAGTGCCCGGCAACTTGTCAAGATTATAATACCTGCGAGAGCTGCGCTGAAAATGAACCCTGTATGTGGTGCAATAACCAGATGCAGTGCGTGGAGTCGAACACGTACGTGACTTCGTTCCCATATGGCTTGTGTATGGAATGGCACAATATCAAAAGCCAGTGTCCACGTAAGTAAAGTGTTACCATTCACCATGTCAGTAGTGAAATAGGAATCTGGATTGCTTACAATGCACGACAAGAAGTAATTTTGCAAAGGGTCCCTGGCATATATATTATATTAATAAATATTACATTAGTCTGTGCATCTATGTAGTAGATAAACATTGAGAAAGCATACCTGAAATATATAATATTTATATAATATCCTAATTGGATTACATTTCTTCAGTGTAAATCACACCAATGATTAGACATGAAAGTTACTTTCAGTTTGGTTCTTCTGGTGGTGAATGTTGAGGTACACAGGGGACATATTACACTGAGAGTCAAAGACTTAATGTCTCATTCAAAAGATGGTGCACTATTGAAACAATATTGCATTTCAGCCCTCCATCTGAAGCGCCAGGGGTTGAAACGCCAGGGACCAAGGAAAGTTTATGGTTGAGCAAGCGACACTACTTTAGCTGACTAAGCTCTCTTATACAGTATAATTAATGGCTCGTGTCCTATATGATTTATATTTAGCATGATTAATATTTATACTAAATCATCAATAACACAAATTGCTTAATAGTGTTTGTTGTTGCTTCTCTTTAGCTCCAAATTGTTCCGGTTATCAATCCTGTACTGAATGCCAGTTGAGCCCAGCTTGTGGCTGGTGCGATGATGGTTCAGGTACCGGCACCGGTACATGTATGGAAGGAGGGTTTACGGGACCTTTGGATTCATCTGGCTCCGAAATGGTCTTGAACATGTCAATGTGCCATACCCACTTATGGAACTTCATAGGCTGTCCATGTAAGTGGTTGCAGAATTAATTTTTTTATGATGATATTTTTTAATGTATTATATTATTATTTTATTGTATTCTTATATCTAAGAATATGATTCTTGATTTGTATATTTTTTAATTTACAAGCCATTCTTTTCCTCTGTAGCTTGTCAGTGTAATGGACATAGTACATGTGTGAATGGAAGTGCATGTCTTAACTGTACCAATAATACGGCAGGTATGTTTCTAATCTATTTTGTGAATACCTTTGTGGATACACTGACTATTGTTAATTCTCTAAATTGGAAACACCCTTTAAAATATATTGAACAGTCACTTCAGATTTGTATAATTTATTATTATTATTAAATTATTATTGAAGAAAAGTGTTTAAAAAGAGTCTTGTGGAAGAGATTCCTTTTTGCATAATAGGGCAAGGCCTGGCTGTTTGTTTTCACCCCATTCCATCAGCTCCTGAATTTTAGAGGCTCCCACATAAACCCGGGTTTGAGGTCAACTTATTTATTTTAGCCCAAAAAAAAAATTAAATGTCCCTGTAGTAGGGGATATTTGACCATTTGGCACACTTAAAAAATGTCTCCATCACCTTAATAGGGGTTGGCCGTAGCATTAAAAGATATACAGTATTTCCCTGGTTTTATGGAAAATTGTCCCCTTAATAGTGGTGTCCCCTGAATGGGGGTGTCCCAAAAGAGGGGTTTACTGTAATAACAATAAATGAGTGGACTATCAGGCAGTTTAGTGTCCTGGACTCGAAAGCAATATGTCAAACATCGATTGTTAATATTTAATTGATTCTCTCCTGTTACAGGTGAACATTGTGAGGAGTGTGCCAGTGGTTTCTTTGGTAACCCTAGGAATGGCGGCAGCTGTGCACCGTGTGTGTGCAATGAGAATGCTGACGTATGTGACATCCATACAGGTGCTTGCTACTGTACTACCAAAGGAATCATTGGTGATATGTGCGACGTGTAAGTCAAATAATTTCTGTCTCGTTTTAAACTTCACTAACATTAAAAATCCAACCATGCTGACTAAGTTTTAAAAAAGTTTATTGGGATCTCAATGTGGTTGTTTACTTGACCATAGCTGCTAGAATATGATTAATAATTTAAAAAAAAAAACCTGTAATTGTATATTATTATATAATGTAATAAATTATATAATTGTATATTATATAATAATCAAAATCATGAATATGAACATGTAATATCATCTTAGTATTTTTGTTTCTATGTAATAACAAAAATTGTTCATTTACACCGCATGCACTCTCTGTTGTAACCATATTTTGTCTACCTGTTTTGGGAAAAGTTCAAGTGGTATTTACCTTTATCTCTTACATTGCTAATAGCTTACTTTGGGAGCCAAGATAATTGGGCTTGAGCAGATTATAAACCTAATGTAAGGAATTCCTTACCGTGTGCTAAAGATTATTCTTTTTTTTTCAGCTGCGATACTAAAGCAAAATACAGAGGAAACCCATCTGATGGTGGTACTTGTTACTGTAAGTGAATCCAACTATTGAGATTGTGCAAATGTTTCAGAACCATTATGTGGCATTTCCAATTTATAAATAATTTTGACCAGCATTCATTCATCAAATATAAACATACTTAGCTCATTCTTCTATGATTGGCACAGCACCAACTATCAGAATTTTGAAGTTATTACTAGTTATTACAAGTTATAGCTAGTTATTACAAGTTATATCTAGTTATTACAAGTTATGACTAGTTATGACTAGTTATTACAAGTTATGACTAGTTATTACAAGTTATAAGTACTTATTGCAATTTATGACTAGTTATTACAAGTTATTACTGGTTATTACAAGTTATGACTAGTTATTACAAGTTACGACTAGTTATTACAAGTTACCTCTAGAGATTTTCAGAATTCCAACAGTTATGGTTTTAAAATCTTTATTTGTTTAATTATTTACTTCTTTATATTTACTGTTGTAAATACTGTTGTTTGTGATAAATTTTTTATAACATTGAAAACCGGTGCCATTACGTTGAGCCTGCTAGCGAGAGTGAAAAAGAAAACCTGCCACGAGTCAGAGAACATTAATCTAAACCACTGTAATCATTATTTTAAAAAGAATATCTTGTTTTATTGTAGATGAACTTGAGATGAATTTCCGGTACAACTTTAACTTGTCAAAGCCGGAAGATAGCTACTACACACGCATCAATATGTTAGTGGAGCCGAATCGTGACAAACGTGATATTGATTTCATCCTGAATGTGCCGTCCCCTGTCACTATGAACATCACCTACTCCACAAGTATGTTCTTGTTCACTGCTTTTCACATTATAATTACCTTTATTATTTAATAGATTTATTCCATTTACTTAGCATCAAAATTTAGTTTGTCACATTGAAATTTCTTTGTTTCATAAACAACTCATGGCATTATACACACGGATCCATCTAAACCAACACTTGATGTCCCTCCCAATTTAAGAAACTATATTTATTTCCGATAGATATTATGCCTACAATTCTTAATATTTAAATGTACATGAATGTAAATAAACCATTTACATAAATTACAGATATTCAAGAAAATGCTAAATTGGTTATCTTTTTTACCTTGCCTGATTTTATGCAACAAATACCCCTTACTGCATTTACCCATGGTAAGGACATGGTGATATAATCTCATACCCATATTATGGCAAATTACAGATGGGCATGATTATTCCATATCAAACTCTTATATAGGTAATGCTATGTTAATCTTATCTATCTGTGTTAGTGAGAGTTTAAATCTCCCAATGGCATTTAAATCTTGATAATTCTTGATTTCTTTTAGATTGTCAAGTGGAAGAGATTCCGCTAGAGTCTGGAGTAATTGTCACAACTAAATACAGCACCAAATTTACTCATAATGAGTTTGATTTTTCTGAGGATGCAAACACAACGTTTTATATATACCTGTATGACTTCACTACTCCTTACTGGTTTGAGGTATGTTATGACTCTTTTTACACCATTCCTTTAAAATGAGGATGATAATCGTAATAATAATAATAATAATAATAGTAATAATAATAATATGGATAATAATAATACTAAAATGACAATTTATGAAGCTGTAATAAATGTTATAATAAAAGCAATATATATATTATAATAATTTTATGTATTTTAAATTTACCCAGCCAAACCTTCTGGATAACCTGAAAGTAAAAATATGTGGGAAAATAGAAAATAATGACAACAAAATTATGAATAACAAAATATATGAATTAGTAAAATGTTTAAATATGATCATATAATTGTAGTGATCTTAATTATGATGATAATGTAATGATGATAATGATAATAACATAATAGTAAAAATAATGACTATGAAAGTATGTTTACTTCATTTATCATCCATTGATGCAGTTCATTATTTTTCTATTGATAAATATTGTAATTATCTTCATAAATATTGTAACGTAATTATTTGTTTATTAATTTTGATTCTCACCATGGATTTATCTGATGAAGTTATTTGTTTAGACTTTTTTAAAGCATTCATGTAATTAATTGTATTATTATTATCTTTTATACTTACTAATTAAATAGTTTCTCTCTTTTTTGTTATCATTGAAATAAATATGGCAGTGTTAAAAATTGATGTATCTTTGCTAATTACCTGTGCCAAGCTGTTCAGTGCATAATATCTTAATACTTCTTCAATGTTCAAAAGTTAAACCCAAATCAGATTGGATGTCGCCTTACCTTAAATGCTTCTTTACCATCGTTACACTTGTGTCAGGTGACATGTCATCTTAACATGAAATATTTCTCTGGTAATATCAACACCTGTATCATGTAGTACGGAAGCTTGTTACCTTGTGTATCACTTTGTCTAAAATGACACCTGTAGCAGGTGGGATTGGTGGAACAGTGTGATTTTCTTTAGCCTATTTGCTGACCGTCCACGTGTACCAGTCCAGTGCATTTCTACAGGTTTATTTCCACCAGCGCATTTGAGCATAGCTCAATGCTGCCACCATGTGAGATTGATATTGTTGGTCATATACCAAATCATCTATGTCAATTCATCTTCACATCCCTTTCAAGTAACCCTAGCTGGCATCTATGTCAAATCATCTTTTCATCCCTAGCATCTACTCTGTCATTCCTTTTTCACATCCCTTTCAAGTAATCCAATTTCAAACATTGTCTAGTGATCCATTTGCCTTGCTTATATTACTAGCTAGCTACCAATAATTTTTTTTAATTACGAGCCAATTGTGCACTATAAATGTAATGCTTTTTAAGTTGTTAAAGGAATCATGAATGGAGAATATGTAGAACGCCCTCAACCGCTTCTTGAATTTGAGGTTTAGTCGATGGATTGATGTAGTGACGACATTGGTGTTCCCATTTTCAGATGCACTTTTCAGATATTTATGTAGCCGATGGGTTACTGCCAGCCTACATTATGTACTTCATGAGCGCTGCCTTCGTTCTGTTGCTTTGCTTTAGTGGCGTTATTGGACTCTGTACCTTGTTGCAATCACATATTACAATGCAGGTAAAAAAAAAAAAACGGATATTGCACCACGTTCCTACCTAGAAATGTTGTGTCTGTCTGTGAAGCATTCTGCAGTCTCGGTCTTTGCTGTGCTTGTCTTAATCCTCATTATCACATGCTTGTTTTCTGCATGCAGGTTACACTGAAATACCACAACGATTTATTGCGTATCGTACTTGAAATTGTGCTTATATTTGTGAGCAGTTTGATTCTTATGCTGTTTGTAATGACTGCCGGTTGGCGAGTGCGCCATGTTCTCTACAGGTATAGACTCCGCCAGGTAAGGTTGAAAGATAGCTACTTCCCAGCACTGACTGACCACTAATGCAATGCACGTTCATTTTGTTTCTTTTCAAAACCAGGTCACTACAATCCAAGGCAATGACCTTAATATCATGGTGTTCTTAAGCGCTTCGTTTTGTTGTTTTGTGATCTCGCTGCTCTTTTTCCTGTCAGTCCTTAAAATCAGGGACTTATGGGAGGCGCGCCAACTCAGACAGGTAAGGCAGGGATTTAGAGGACCGTGGAATGTTCTATCGCGTGACTTGGTTTGATTTCAATCTAACCTCTAGTAGCCAGTAATAACTATTTAACACTTTTCTCTATTTCAGAAAAAATAATGCACACTAAACTTTCTCAACACTTGTGTTGTGTCTTATCTTTCTATTACTATCTAACTAACTTTTACGGGGTGGAAAGGGACAGGCCTACGTGCAAGGATATTCCACAATTCAACGATATTTTCCCACAGGTTGTGTTAAGACCATACGAGATATGGAAAGTCATTTTGCAGTTCCTTATCACGTTTGTTAGCTGTGTTTTAGCGTTTCTCATCCTGTTTTTGGGCTGTTGGAAATTAAAACATGTTATCCATAGCCGTATATGGGTTCAGGTAAGAGACTCCCACTTGCTGCCCCACTCAGGGGCCCCTTCCCCGCTAGCTGGCCCTTTCCACTCCTCCTTCCTAGAGGCTGACCCTTGCATGATTTAATCTTGCATGGACTAACAGATAGCACTCTTTCTGCTTCGCTTTTATAGGTGACTGTCTATCAGTTTCTCGATGTGAACATTTTTCAGTTCTTCATCGCGTTCATCTCTTGCTTTTTCCTCTTTCTACTCATCTTTGTGGTCACCTTCAAAATCAAAGAGAAAATTGATTCAATTAAACAGAGAAGGGTAAGTCAAAGAGGAATAAACAAGTAGTACCAAACACTTAATTCTCTCAATATTTTGACAAAAGTGTCTCTTGTTGTATTGATGCACTGGAATGCTGCTTTTATGAACAGCACCCTCCAATGCATTGTTTTAAACTACCATAGACAACACTGGCTCTAATGGGTTAAGGTTTGGTCAATTTATAACAGCAAAAAAAGTTATGTTGCATTTATTTTGATTTAAAAGAGCATGATTTTTATTTTGATTCTGTATCTACTTGCACTTGGAAAAAGCATATTTATGCATTAATTTATGTAAAGCTCTTACCAGATTATCAGATTTTCTTTAACAAAAAATGTAAGCCATATATGGTCATGGTGTGATGTCATCATGACCATATTTAGGCATATCACGTGTTTTTGTCAAATAAATTGTGATAGTCTGTATAGTACTTTGGTCTCGATTTGATGTTTTGTCAGATCAGTGTGGTGGTCCAAACTGCATTTTAACATTATCAAAATTTTGTACATGCTTAATTCATATATGGTTTATTAACAGAGTCTCACTAATCAGATCCTATATATGATTATTATTTACTTCTATAAATTGCATTAAAGTTTACTAAAATGTGTTGTGGTGATCTCTATATTTTGCTTAAGCTCTGTTCAGATAATCAAATTTTGTTTGACAAAAAAAAAACTTGTATGCCCATATATAGTCATGATGTGCCCATATATAGTCATGATGTGGTGATGTCATGACAATATTATAAGCATGTTACATGTTTTGTCAAATAAAATTTGATTAAAGTTTGAACAAGCTTGAAATGGATGAGAATGTATTTCAAATTTAATTTGAATTCTATTTTTGTCTGTTTTAAAACTAAACAAGGTGGTGGGAGATGTTCTTACTTTGTTTTTTACACACTCTGCTCTATTTCCAGATCACATTTTCTAATTTTCTATACACTTCTACAAATAATTATGGTATTTTTTATTATAATATCAAATATTATATTTGTTAAAAATATTACATAATATATACTAATAATAATATTAAGAAAATATTATATTTAAACAGTTAATTTTTATATTATCAAATTAATAAAGAATTAGCTTGATTAATGGTTCAATAATGCGCTCATAGGCTGAAAGTGGTGGGATTACAATTTCTTGCAAATGTTAAATTATCTTAATAGACATACAGAACTAACATTAAATAAACAACAGCTACTGTAAAATGCTCAGTATTTCAATGTTTGATCAAAGAGTATAGATAGGGAAAACATTCCACTTAATTTTGTTGGAACATGTTTCTATTCTATAAACAAATCTTTCCAAACTAAGTGAGCACCCTACATATGAAATGGTATCAACCAAATTGTGATGAGCATGCACTTGTGTGAAGGGTGCCCCCTAGTATTTGGAATGAGTCTTTCGTGTACATAAGATGAATGGATTTTACCGCTTTCTATTCTGTACTCTTTGGTTTGATTAAACTTTCTTGAATTTGTAAAATGCTTGCAATGCACGAATGTATGCAAAGATAAATGCACGTCTGCGTATTATGTAGTTCCCACCTGTTATGGGCTTTGACCTTTTATGGATTTCTTTTGGATTGGGTTACTTTAAACACAGTCTCTTATAATATGTTTTCATGATAATTTGGGTTTAATATAATATTTGAATATATTTAAAATGTTTATTAATTAATTAATCTTAATTGAGCAATAATTGCCTATAGATCATATCTACTGCAAACAGTAAACTAAAGATGAATTATGTATTAGAAAATGAGAAATTAAGAGGATCAGACTTAATATTAATTAATGTTAGATATTGTTGCATATGAATATTGTCAGATTCTTTCATATTTATATTAAAATATTAGACCCTCAGAACTAAGAAAGTACAGAAAATTTATGACATATTCAGATGGTGATAATTTTTTTTGTCTGTCTTTCTCATTATTGACATTGTGATGTTACTTAACTTGATTGTATATTTTCTCCTGGTAGCGACGTGTGGTTGAACTCCGCATGATGGCTAGTAGGCCGTGCGCAACCATCAACCTTGAACTGGAACGCAATAGGCCACCTGACCTCCTTCCATCAGGCAAAAAGGTACAACCTCAAATTCACCATCACTGGTTTGGATTTGTTATATATTGTCATTACTGCTGTTATTTTTATTTCTGCTGATGCAGTTGTTGTTGTTTTACTACATTTTATTAATAAAACCTAGATGTAAAGGAAATCTTTTTAAATGGATTAATCTTTTCTCTTATTCAACCAATATTTACTGTAATCGATTAATGCATAAAATGTTGTGGCTTTCTATCTTGGTATGTTTGGTTAACTTGAAAATGGGGACTGAATTTGAAGCCCAGTCTACAGTAACAATTTTTTTTGTGAGAAATGCTTGTGATTGCCAATAATATAGATGTGGTATAAAATCTTCAGTCCCATATATGGTTGTGATATGACATCATCATTCCCATACTGTATGTTGGTGTGATATGACATCATTATTCCCATATATGACCATATATGGTTGTGGTATAGCATCATCATTCCTATATATGGCCACATATTGGTGTGGTATAACATCATCATTCCATATATAGAGGAAATATGAGATATTTGTCTTAGAAAATATAATAATGTGAATAGAGCATTAGAAAAATATGGACTATGCACTATATAATTGGTAATGAACCAATTAATTAGAATTCACAATGTATCAACTAATAATAAGCTAAAATTATAAAGATAATTCAAAATATTATTTTTTAATACATTTTTTCTTTTGATTCTGTCAACAGTCTTATCCTAACGTGATAGCGTTTGAACCGTGTAGTGAACAAAAAGCTGCTGTTGCCTCACTATTTATGCAGATCCCACTCCCCGATAATTGCGAGGTTCCGTACGGACAAACCCGCATTGTGCTTGCAAGTGCTCTGGTCCAAATGAAGCATAAAAAGATCGACATGCGTGACGTTACAGGAGCACGGCATCGGAAACAACAACAGCGTGTACCAGTAGACGAAGCATCAAATTGTGCCCACGAAGTGGTATAGAGTCAATTTGCCTTTCTTAATTATAATAATTTTTCATATTTTTTAAATTTTGTGACACGATTCTACCTAAGTGATCAGTTTGGGTGACAAATAAAATGCTGATACAATTCTATACTGGTGACAGCACCAACATTAAATAAAATCAGAATCCCTTAATCAGATTTTGTGAAGGCATCATCAGATCTATTGGGTAGAATTGGGTGATTCTGTATAATAATAATAATAGGTCACAATATATCAAGAATCAAACTGATGGTTGAAATGAAAACTAGATTTTCAATAATATTTGATAATTTTACTTTTCTCTGTTTCTTATTGGAATGCATGCAAATTATTATTTTTCACTGCTGACAATACATTGGATATTATAAATATTAAAATTATCAAATATTAATTAATATGATTTAAAACTGCTTTAATTAGCACATCATTGTTTAGTGTTATAGCATTTGCTTATCATTAATCTGGAGACATGCAGTAGTTGTATATTTCTTTATTAGCCTACGTTTTAATGGCTGTACGATAAAAAGAATAGAGATTGCTAAATACTAAAAGGAAACATATTTTTTATTGCACAATTAGTATCGGCTATGTATATCTTTTGTGTGCATAGCAATGCTTCCCTTTAAAAGTCTAGGGTATTTTCGCTATCAAAAGAAGAAATTTTATTTAAATTTTATGTGATAAAAATTGAAAATAGACAATATCATAATCATGTTTGGAACTGTGTATACTCATTGCATAATATCAAGAAGTAGGATTTTTAGACATTCTAACATTTATGGTATTTTCTCAATACTACCAATTACTACTACTAATTAGACCAAAATATTTGACCAATCAGGACAGAGCATTTATTATTGTTTTTAGAACCACCCTTTATTGTGAAGAAATTGATTTGAAAATTCATGATTTCTTTTTGGTTCACCAGTAATTTATAAATACCATAACACTTTATACAGCCAGTACAAACACTGTTTGTGAGAGTCACAATCTAATTTTACTACAGTACACAAGCAAATTAGTACATTACATTTTCTAATTTATTGTATTTTTTCCAATAATTTCTTATTCTTTGTTTGACAACCTTCTATTCACAAACTGGGCATACGATGATCAGACCTAAATTGTCAAAATCAGATTATTGTCTAACAGTCCATGTTTTAGGCATGTGACATGAGATGACATAACATGTTACGACATGTTACAGACTATACCTGTTTCAGACATCTGATCAAATGTCATCAGAAATCATATATGGCCATGATGATGTCATCATATCCATATATGGGTATGGTGATGTCATCATATCCATATGTGAGGTCTCACCACAAAATGAGTCTCATGGTTTAAAATTCAAAAATTGAGTTTATATTATATTTTAGTAGATCACCTTAGCTTTCATTTGGTCTTTGAATGGCTTCCCTACTATAAGTAAATCCAGAAATGTGAGCATTTAAAGTTCAGGTATATAAGAACCACGTTTTGAGAAAATCGACCTCAAAGATAAACTAACCAGTACAAATAATATGACTAGACTTACAGAATATGTGCAGAAAACACTGTTTTAGCAAGAAAATTCACTAACAAAGTATACCATCATAAAATATAAGTGTCAAGTTATTCAAAAACATTAAAATCACAATTTTGTAAAAATATTGACTTTGGCCTGTTTTGGTGAATATCTCAATATGATTTCACCAACAATGCGTCTCATTTCGTGGTGAGACCTCACATATATGCTGGTGTCATATCCATATATGGTCATGATGATGTCATCCATATAGGGCATGATGATGTCATCATTACCATATATGGCATGATGATGTCATCATATCCATGTAGGGGCATAATGATTTAATCATATCTATATATGGCCATGATGATGTCATCATATCCATATATGGCCATGGTGATATCATATCCATATACTGTAGGGACATGATGTCATATACCCAATATGAGCAATTCAGATATTTGTCACTTTAATAGTGTGCCCGGCTTTGTGTTTCTATAATCAGTACTATAACAGTTTATTTGACATAGAAAATGTAAGAAAATTGTGTAAAATATATACAGATTGATCAGTTAATCCAGAATATTTATGTACAGAATCTTTTATAAAGAAATTATGTAACTATAGATAACATGTTTAGTTTTCTAGATTAGTTATTCAGGAAATATAAATAACTAGTTAAATAATTATGTTATGATGTATGTGAGGTAATGACTTTATATATCTTTAAATGTTAATTAGTAGATCTTTATTAACAAGGAGGTTATTTTTAACCAACTTAACCTGCGCTGAATAAATCATATGTCCCCATAATACTAAATCACAAGTGATTTGGGTGGAAATCGAACCTACAACCTGGATTGTTAATATTCTGGTACCATATTACTTAACCAAAATCAAAATTATAATTATTGGTTTCAATTAAGAATGACAAAATGCCACATAATTTAAACATAGTTTACATTCTTAGAAATATTTAGAGAAAAACATGTTGATACTACAATATATGCAGATAAGAAATTTTAAAAAGTAAAAAGAGATGAATGGAAATGGAAGTAAACTACCAACTACTGATCGCTTTATATTTAGTTTTACTTAAACTGTTGATAGATAATTTAGATGATTAGTGGTCTCAGGATAGATTGTTAATTAGGGAAGGGGTATGGGTATGCTGGCTGGGCCCCCCTTGAATCCGCCTATGTTAATCCCTTGAAAAACTAATTCATTTTGTATTCTTACTCATTCCATGTGTGTATATTCTTCCATCTCTGAGAATTTATTAATTTTTTTATTTTATATTGTTTGCTGCTAGAAATTTAAACAAATATTTTTAACCAAAAAAGAAGGTAATATTTTGGCAGCTGATATGAAAGCTTTGTTGCCAAGAACTTAATCATCTTTGTAAAAGAATTAAACTGACAATTTTTCTTATTGTGTGAATAACCCTTCCAACTCTAGGGAGCGAATGATTAGTGGCCATTAGTGTTTTTAATTTGAAATTATACGTGTGATAGCGTACCGTCAGTGGCGGCTCTAAGAAATATTTTCAGGGGGGGTGGGGGACTAAGATGTCCGATAGGAGACTTGAGCTCGTAGGCTTAAGAGGGGGTTTCCCCATCCCAAATGAGATTTTTAAAGAATAGGAACATCTGGATGGTCGGAAATTAATAATAATAAAAATAATAATATTAATATTGTATTATTATTTTTTATTATTATTATTATTTATTATTTTAATTATTATTATTATCATTATATAGTTATATTAAATTATGTTATATTATTTTATTATTATTGTTATTAATACTATTAGTTGTATAATAATGATGTGTAGGCCTATAGTGCTGCAAGTCATTTAGCTATGCAGTACAATGAACCCTTCACCACCTAATGGTAGTTCACTGATGATGTCACATTCTATTCATCTGTCCAATGTTACTGTATACTTGTTACAGTATTTTATGTCATTGATAATAGTAATCAGATTTTAGGCATATTTTCTATGTACCAGATCTACGTATGATATTCAAGTTATTTTTCTTTATATACAAGCACAGTAGTTTTGCCTATGAATCTCCCATCCCCTTATATATAGCACTTATATCCATTTAAGGATTGCCGTGTGGATCAAGATAGCAAGTAGACAATCATTCTATATACTGGTATACTAATAGAGCGCCCTCTATTAGAGTTGTGCACAAGTGAGTCGTACATAATAAATGTAGGTCTATAATGAACAGCTCCCTCGATCTACAATAGGGTAAATATTATAAACCTTGATGTAACTAAGAAGAAACATATTATGTATATAGCAAAGTTTTATTAATAGATTAAATGGATCAATGACATACTCGAACCATGGAGGTATAAAATAATACTATAGTGTAATAATCATACACTTCCATGCCCAAACGAATTGGTGCGACTGGTAAGTTTGATGTAAAATGCAAGCTGTCGTAATTCTGTATTTCTAGCATTTTTAATTTTACACTTTAACCTTACCGAAATTATTCCAGCCTTTTAATTTCATTTTATTCTATTTCCGCTTTCCTCTAAAAACCTGTTTATTTTATCTGTTTGTTTTCTCTACATCTCTCTCGTTAAAGTACATAAAGGTGTTTTGCAAATGGCGCAAGTTAAACTTACTATAGGTATCATTACTATTATTTCAGTGATGTACTCGCAAATGTATGTAAATCTGGTCACATACTTAATTGAATAATTGTTAGTAATTTTTGTTGTTCTAGGCTGGACCAGATTCAATTTGGATATTTGTGATTTTTTTTAATTATTAAACAAGATTATGTTTGGTTTAATTGCAACATTTTTCAATGATTCAGACAATACAATTCTAATACAGTTAAGCTTGCCTAAGTCGACTTTGCCTATAAAACTCAAATAATTTCTAAGTCGACTTATTTTACATGCTAAACTATTGTGTTTTTCTTTAATTAACAATCTGTAAGTCAAACTTTATCTAAGTCGAACCATTTTTCAATGGCATTTTCGATTCGACTTCGGTAAGTTCAGCTGTAAATAATAATAAATGGACAACAGTTTCAGAATATTTAAAAAAAAAAAGGGAAGGAAAATAATTGTAATTATATTTTCTTCCAATATATTTTGAAATAATAAAGTTCTGTGCGACATCAGTTTATAGAAATAATAATTATTAAATCACCATTTTTCTCATTTTTATTGTATGATAATTTGATGTCATGCCGTTCTAGATATATATGAATTTATTTTTATTAATTAGGTGTATTTGAAACCATTAAAGATATACAATCTGTGTTAGTATATATTGCTTACTTTTTATACTAAAGTAAGTTATTAGCATTGTGCTAAACATGATTTAGAGAGAAAATAATTTCCATACCAATGAACACACATATTTAATACTGTTCATATGCATGGCTTAAACCCACAATATGCCTGGTAATTGATTTAAGGATTTTTGTAGTAAAATTTCAACAAATTACAGCTGTCAAAAAAACAACTGAATTGTTCCAGTCAGAAGTTGGTAGATTATTTTTTTTGTTTTTCGAATTGAGCAATTTACTGTTTCAAATAAGTGTTTGGGGAGTTTCTATCAACTCCCACAGGCGGTATAGTGTATCTTCAAGGGATCCAAATATGACATGTGGTAAAGACAGTAGATCTATAAGGTGCAATGAAAGAAAAATATTTTAATACTTGTGATTATAATTTTGGGATTGTAAAATACACTGTAAGAAATTATAATAATGTATCATAAAGATTATTATTGATTGTAAATAAATCAGAGCTTTTCATATTTGTCTTGCAATTCAATTTTTTTTGTACAGTATACTCTTATATATTGGTATCTTTATTCAATATTTCCTTCATAAAAAAATACATGTGCAGCAAAATGCTGAATTGTAGTATTTTATACAGAAAAAGATAAAACAAAGAACTAGATAAAATCTAAAATGCAATAACACATCACATGAAAAAATACAAGAGAAAAAATAAGAGTTAATACAAATGCAAACCCGACCACCAGTTCAAAAATTCAAGTTGAAGAGGATCATGACATTTAGTGTATTGGTGTACTCCTATGCACTCTCGTGCTGCAGTCCACAGGAACCATGGGTCCTGGTGAGGTTTGTTGATACATAACAGCATAATGTGTTTATAACAGAATTTGCCGGCCGCCGCTCCACCCCCCCCCCCCAAATTTGTCAATCTTTTAAAAATTGAGAAAAAGAAAATTATAAGTCTGTGAGTGCCATTTCTGGTCATCTAGAGTTGCCATATCATAAATGTTCTTACCTTAGCCCCAACTATGATGGGGCTGAGGTGGTATACCCATCTGTAAAAGTCCCTCCCTGTCCCCTCCTGTTTCAAATTCCTGGATCATCCACTGATATATCATTTATTTTGTTGTCAAAAACATAGAATACAATGAAAAATATGATTAAAATATGAACACTTTTTAAGATCCCACCATAGAATTGGTGACCGGAACCCAAAAAGGCCCATTCACTTTCAGAAGTAGTTTATAGTACACCTATGGTACCGTAGGCCCAGCTTTCGCCTGACGTGGCGGGCAGCAGCTAACTAGTAGATAACTACAGTATATAAAGAGCTATTCAATAAGCAGCGAGGAGAGAAATGAAATTAAATGACTGCAACATGTACAGTACAAGCCAGCTACAGAAACAACCTAATGATGATGTTAATAATATAGTATTTCTATAAAAGTGATCTACATCAGAAGAGTGGTACCCACAGAGCATATGAATGGTCACAACAATAAAATAAAGGACAAACCACACGTTTACACCTTTCTTTTTATTCAATGTTATGCAATTAAATATATTTGTAATTTTATTGAAAGTGAATATCTGATGTTAAATGTTGAAAATGTTGTTCAAATATTTATGAATTAAACAGCTGATGTTTCCCCGCCAAAACTACTCTGAACAAAACAAAAAACAGAAGTTTTGGATTTAAAGATACCGTACAACAAAAAATAAACAAAATATTTCACTTCATATAAATGGTAAACTCTCTTTTGATACTAAAGATGTTTTTTTTTATGAATGTAGCATGTACAGGTAAATAACTGGCCTTAAGTCGTTGACATTCAATAGAAAATCCAAATTTTAAAAACTACTTTGATAAACTAAAAAAAATCGATGAGAATTACATTGATGAACTGCTAAATGGATTAAATCCAAATAAAAGTTGTGGGTTGGACAATGTCCCTCCAATATTTCTCAAAGATGGATCTTCTATTTTAAAAATCTCCATAACACATATTGTGGATCTATCAATTGAATCCAATATTAAGGTTCCTGATGATTTTAAAATAACAAGAGTTACACACCTCTTTAGAGGTGTGTAAAAAATGTTAGGTCTGATGTAGCTAACTATTGACCAATCCATATTATATGTTGTATTTCAAAAGTTATTGAAAGAACTGTCTATTATCAGCTGTCAAATTACAATTGAATTCCAATCAGGACTTCAATTGATCATACTTGACTGATACTTGTCTTATCCATCTATTGGACCATCTTAAAGAAAAAATATCAATAAAGATAAATGAAGTAAAGAACAAAATGTCAATAGGCTTATTTATCTTATTCCTAAAATATGTTGATATCAATTTATTAATAGTTTCATTAAAAGTCATGCAGTGTGCAATTCAAACAAACAATTTAGATATATACCGTATATACATATAGAGCAGGATCCTATCAAGTATTTAAAATTTTAAATAAAAATATGCTTGCATTTTGACTTTGTTCCCACTGAAGCACTCCCTCCCCCAACCCTTTTGGAAAGTCAAAAAAAGCATCCCCAAAATGCCTCGCAGGCTATTTTTGGGAGTCTAGAATACTAAAATTTCGCGGGGCATGCCACCGGACCACCTCCCGGGGCCCCCTACGGTAGTATCGTCTCAATCGGCCCCATTTTCAGGCCCCCCCACCTTTCGGACATCTTTGGATCCGCCCGTCATTTATAAATGTACCAAAATAACAGTGGCATTTACCTGGACACTTCAATCACAAAACAAAGTATCAAATTTTATTTGACAAAAATATGCAACATGCCTGAATATGGTCATGATGACATCACATCATAACCATATATAGGCACATCATGACTATATATGGTCATGATGACATCACATCATGACCATAATATATATTCACATTAGGACTATATATGGGCATACAACAGTTTTTTTTTCAAAGAGAATTTGATCATCTGGTCAGAGCTTAATAAATAACATATTTTATATCATTTGGATCGCCGTTTCTCCATCTTTTCTGTGACCGTAAGAATTCAAATCAACTTTAGATTCAGTACGCGGTAATTCCGAGTAAGGGGTCAGCATTGCATATGGCTTGTCACATGACACGTGGGTCAGAAACGGATAGTACTGACGATAGCACATGAACGCTATACTTAAACCGAGCACTGATCCAACCAGCACATCTGCAACAAAAAATGATATACACAGTAATTAGAAATGATGAATAATCAAAGATTAGTTATCAATATCCTCCCTACAGATAACTGGCTTATCATATCATATATTTTATATAATCATACTGTATATTATACTGTATTGTAAAGTTTAATGGAAATTTTTAATGATGATTCTATTATTAAATTTTATGTTTTTATAATAATTAGGATTGAGTCTATTGTTATAATTCTTATTGTCTTATCTAAATGTAAATCGTTTGTGTTCTATCTTAATGTAAATGAGGGGCAGCTGACTCATCGGAGTAATAGTGAATTTTTGCTTAAGCTGCCCCTGACCATTGTTGTTTGATTATGTATTGATTCTAATATTATTGTTTGATATTATCATCTTGGTCAAATAAAAAAATAAATTAAATATTTAATATGCATATATTTTTTGTTCAAATATTTTATTTTATGATGTGAAGTGCATAGAATCTTTATTGTGCATTATGCGCTATACTAGTGTAACATTATTATTACATTATTATTATTATTATTATTATTATTATTATTATTATTATTATTATTAATATTACTAATATTATTATTATTATACGACATCATGTTGAATTATTTATTAAAGTAATGTAAAATTCAGGTGTTTATTCAAATTAAAAATTTGTTAAAATAACTTTTTTTTATATCACCTTGCCAATGATGGTGGTAGTCTGCTGTTCTAGAAAGGGCGATCATCAACGCCCCAAACAACGGACTGATGCTTACGCATAACTTGAGGCCAGAGCCACGCCCTTGACTTTCAAACACATGTAATTTTCCCATTATGTATAAGGCAGTAAAAGTCAAACCACAAAAGGCAACTGTTAAAAAAAGAAAGGTCAGTAAATGACATTGTACGATTAATTTCTGTGACTTCTAATGTGCATACCAGTGACATAATAAATGGTGGATTCAAGGGGGGAGAGAGCCCAGCCGGCCATCTAGAGGTGCCATAATCACAAATTTTCTTATCTCAGCCACAACCATGGTGGATCTAAGGTGGTCTAAACCCCCTTGTCTGTGAAATTCCCTTCCTGGGCCCCTATATTTTAAATTCCTGAATCCACCACTGATAATAGTTAAACTCACAGGAAGAGTGGCCGCTTGGGAAGCTTTTTCTTCCCTCCATTACTATATCCATATCTCCTGTACAATGCAGATCATTCGTCATTTTTCCATCAGGAAAGCAACGCCAAAAGTAGTCAGGCCTTGGTCTAAAATAAGGAAATGAAAAACAGTAGTTATTAGTTTTACGGCTTCATTCTCACTCAGAATAACATATAAATTTGATATATCATCCTTTTTGAATAATGTAGTACAGTATAGAACAGGGGTTCTCAACTGGCGGCCTGCAGGAATAAGCCGAAAATAATATTTTCCGTTAGGCTTGGGCTTAGATTTCCAACCTTAATAATTCTGCATTCTGTTTTCCAGACTAGGCCTATATATTGCCCAACAAATTGTAGTGATTTAATCAATTACATCAAAAGAGCTATCACAGCAAACTGCAAAGAACACTTTAGGCCTCTTACCGATGACCACTGTGCGACTTTTGCATTACCAAACACATGGGTAACTTTCTTAGGTCAAGATGCCCTGTATGAGTGTCTAGTGCCATAATTTTTTTTTAATTGCTAATTCGCGTCAATTAGAGTTTCTGATTACCAAGATGATTTCCATTCATTTTTTTTATAACTTTTTTTTTCTTGCAGTTTTCTATATTATCACAATTAGACTTATTTACTAGCAATGTCTTCCTAACCTCTGTTTGTTTTAATGGTTATGTCCTCAATAAATAATTCCACTGTACAGTTTAAATTATTTTCATACCACATCTTATTTTGTCTGTAGGCTATTTTATATTACGTTAAACGTGTATATTAGCTTCATTGTTATGCAAATTATGTAAGCCTGTTTTTCAATTACTGTATATTCATTCATTATATATACAACTGAATAAAAAATAATAAATATCAGGATAATAAAAGCAACAGGCAACAGCTGCACATTTGAATAATGTTTAAACTAGAAAATATATTATAATATATGGTAATTACCTAACAAGTTTAATTGACACTATTATCAGTGGCAGATCCAAAATTTTTTTAAATAGAGGGGGCGAAGGGAGGTACTTTCACAAATACACCCACCTCACCACCCAACCATGGTTAGGTTGAGGTAAGAAAATTTATGATTATGGCACCTCTAGATGGCTGAAAATGGCACTCTCAGACCTTATTTGTTTAAGATTTTTCTTTTTGCTCCATTTTTTAACAAAAGGATTAACTGATAATATTAATATTTTTTTTAATAGTGAATGAAATCATGCAGCTGAACTTAAATCATAAATTTACCTCCCATAAATATTCTTGATGCTGTTTGTTATGATACCAGTAATAGGAAGGGCCAAGCCAACCGCTGAAATAAACAACATTTATTATCATATACACTCAAATTCACTGATTGTATAAATCAGAAAGTCTAAATTGATCTAGTTATTACTGGTATTATTTGTAATTAATTAACTAATATTAGATGTTCCAACTTACCTAGTGAAGCTTGAATTAAATCTGCTCTTTCTCCTCTCAGTGAAAAGAAAATAAATATAACTATTATAGGAGTAAACACGGATATACACTGAAAATAAGAGAAAACAAAACATTAAAACTTTTAAAATAGCAATGATAAAAAAATAATCTAAATAAAAGCAGTTACCTTTCAGAGCTGTTTTATTAATCCATCCAATTAAAGACCACAATTGGGACAGGGGTTTTCATGGTCTAACTTTGGTCTATTAATCAGAAAAATAAGATATTAAAGATGAAAAGATATAAGATCATAGCATTATGTGGGCTCTAGAAAGGTGGTCTTTACTGGAGGTGGTCTTTCATTAGGACAAATAAAAAAAAATATTGTGCTGGTCATGCCAGACCCACCCAAAATGTACAAAATTGAGGTTCGCCATTTTAGCTTTCTTTCACAACAAAAAATATTATTTTAATGAGAAAAAAAGGCTGGAATAGGTCTATCTTTCTGGACGGTAGGTGATGCGACAGTGTTATGCAATCATTCTGCTCTTCAATATAGAATTAAAAATGGTCTTTGTTGTATTTTTTTGTGTATTTTCTACTTTTTAGGCATAAACATATTATTGGTAATTAAAACTTCTCCTACCGACCTACCCATGGATTTTCCCAAAATGAGGCCAGCACAAGAATTTCTTCTTTTTTTTTGGCCTTACACAGGGACCTGTATTCCTATTATTGTTTTCAGATAACTCACTTCACTTCAAGGATATCAAGTTAAATAGGTTCAATAAATCTTTTGCTTTAATGAGGTATTGCACTAATTCCCACTTTTTTACAAGAATTTGATGCATTATAACAAACATTTTTTTTTAACAATATACATTTGTAAATTTTTGACTAGATATTTATGTAACAATCGCTTACTTCTCTTTAAATGTATTGTTTTTGAGTTGTTAAAGTGGGCCCTTTAGTATCAGCTATGCTGGAAAGGATCACCCACTTAAAATATAGTTGAAATTTTAAAAAAAATTAATAATAATAAATCAGGCCAATAAAACTAATTTGACTCCTTGATTGGCTGTCTTGAAAAATAAAAATAATGTTATATCTTAATTAATTGGTTTTTTTCTAAACAATTAATAAATGACATACAAACATGACTGAAGTTGTAACATAGCTTTCAGTGACAGGGTTTTTATATAGCCACATCTCCTCTGGTTGTATCATTCGTATGAATGGTTTCAATTCCTCTGTAATTCTGTGGAAAATAAAAAATATATTAAACTTCAGTGACAAATATTCATGGTAATAACATTCAAATTGAAAATGGCAGGAAATATAAAACATCACTTTGATTTTATCTGATAATATTTTGTTATTAATCAATAAAATTTACACTGTACTTACAAAAACACTACAATTAAAACCATGCGGAAAAATATCTCAAATACTGTAGAAACAGCACCACGGTTGATTTTGTATCTACAAGGCATGATGAGGTGAGGGGTTGAGGACAATCACATCATAGACGTCGACCTTCAAATTCACATTATTCTAACAATATTAACAGGCATGATTTGAGGGAAAATCTGTGAAATTAATAATGATAAAAGGTTAATGTTTTTTGAATTTATAAAGTGTATACTAGGCCTAGGCCTACATGGTCTCTATGCGGAGAATGGGAAAAAAGATATATAAGGGCCTAGGCCCTATATAGGCTAGATAGTAGTAAAACATTAACAACAGCCCTACTATAGGCTAGATAGTAGTATAACATTAATAACAAGAACATTAAAGAACTTTAAATATTCATAGTCCTGAACTAGCCTAGTAGTACAGTAGAACTAGGCCTAGGCCTAGGGACCTACTGTAGCTAGGAAAGCTAGGCCATAGATAGGCCTAGGCCTAGGAGGAGTTATTATATTAAATGATACGGTTTACTCTCTCAGCTCAGCACAGCTGCAACCACTGCAGCAGTGTCTGGCTAAACTGGTCACTAACAAGTCAAACAAGCCTAAGCTTAATCTTAGGCCTAGCCTAGACCATGGGACCAACCATGGCTAGCCTAGGCCTAACCTTGCTTAGCAGGCCACCTGCGCATTGGCGTCCTGGGCCCTGCCCTGGCTGGTGGAGCCTAGGAATGGGCCTATTGTCCTAGCTAGAAAAATATGAGGCTAGCTAGGCCTAGGCCCAGAAGGTCGGAAGTTATCATAATGTAAAAAGAAAAAAAATCAGAAATAACAGTAGAGAAAAGAAACAGTAGGCCTACGCTAAAACTGATAAAGGAACCTTTAAAAGTTCTTTTCCACTTCGACCACAGTTGTTTACGACGTCGTCGTACGTGTCTATCATGTTCCTCTGGTCACCAGAGTCTGGTGATTAGCCAAGCATGACAATTAACATTTGACCTTTGTTTCCATAACAGCCAAGTACACTACTGGAAAGGCTACTTAAAAATAATTAAGATGCTATCGTTCTTTATCATAATATATTATTCATGTACTGATGTTAACTTACTGCATGACACGCAAGCAACTGGGGATATACAATAACGTCTAGGTGAGTATGTCCCTCGAAGCTTTCCAAGCATCATTTCTTCTTGCTAGCTCTGCTGACACCCTCGGTTTCCACTACCAGAAGACGTCTTCAGCTAAAATACTTGAGGACATCAAGTCTTATGGAGGATTACGTGGAGTCACAGTTCAGCCCCCGAAATGGAAGGCAAGTGAGGGTACGGTACTGCATATTGCATCTGCGTTAGCCCTTAGCACTGAAAAAACGGGGGATACACTCTTAAACGAATTTGCTGTGCAATATGTGGCAGGGATGGATGCTATGGATGATAGAATTCCTGGAACTGTGTTGCTTGATTGGACTGGTAAGCTTCGCCCCCGTGAAATTTATGGCTACAGATTACCATTTGACAGCCATGCAAAGGACAACTGCGCAGCCATACGTGCCATGTGTATTGGTTTAGTATTCGTTAAGCCACATTATCTACCCAAGTTGATAAGTGTTGCTATTGAAAGTGGTCGTATAACTCATCATAATCCATCCGCTTATCTGGGAGCCTTAACTGCAGCTCTGTTTACATCTTATGCAGTTCGAGGAATCGAACCCCGAGAATGGGGAGCTAGACTGATAGCCGTACTCCCAAAGGCACTCGAGTATGTTATTGGAACTGGGCACTTTGTGGATGAAAATAAGAACGCTTGGTCAGAGTTCGAGCAAAAATGGACAGAGTATTTAAAAGTGAGACAAATAACAGATGGAGAAAGCAAACCCAAGTTTCCAAAGAAGTATGGATTAAAAGAAAGGGTAATTCTCTTTCAGAACTTTGCAGGCACAAAAGTCCCTGGAGCACATGGATATGATGCGACTATCATAGCGTAAGTAGCATGCATCTCTACCAGAATAATGGATCTTTCAGAGTGACAATTAAACTTCTGACCAATAAGAATGAAGCAAGAAAATCATGTGTTGTCCCCACAGCACACTTGTTTACATTGTAGTTTTGTGGGACCTAGCAACAATATCAAAGAGGCAGGGGGCTTTAGATCCATTATAGGTTTTATAGGATCCATTATAGGTTTCTCTGATATCAAATTTTACTTAGGATTTCTGCAAGAATTCACTGCTGGACCACCTCATGAATAATTTGATATACAGTATTTACAGTTGGCGTATCTAGGGGAGCACCAGTCCGCGAGCTAGGTCCCCTTACCAAATCGTTGAGGCCCCCATCAGTCCCCCCATTTAAAACTCCAAGGAGACACCACTGTATATTTATAAATCAGTTTACCATAATTAAATAATATTTGATAATGCACTGTAATATGTTCATCCAGCCCTCATTAATAATAATTATTATTGAAGTGTATTGTTGTGAATATTGATTTCACCTCATGAATATGTATTAATCTGAATTCATATCATCTTTTATTAGGTATGATGCAATTCTGTCATCTGGAAATAGCTGGGAAGATCTGTGCAAGAATGCTGTATTTCATGGCGGTGCAGGTCATGCGAGCGGTAGCCTGGCCGCTGCCTGGTGGGGCGCCATATATGGGCTTAGCCTAGTGCCAAAGACAAACTATGAAAGCATTGAGTATTATGACTGTCTTATTGGTCTGGGGAGTAAGTTATATGAACTAAGTTGGTGAAATGAGTGTTCAGAATCCAACAGTAATTATAATTTCCAATGTTTCATTATTTATTATATTTATATCGTAATGTATTGCATCAAAGTAGCAGCTTATAGAATGAGGATGTGGATGCCTTTTACCTCTAATGTGCCAAAATAAATATTATAACCAGTATTATTATTAATAATTATTCTATTACTAGTTTGGTTAAATATTACTACTATTTGAATATTGGTATTAGGCCTACTAGTGTAATTTACTATCAACTACCGGTATATTATTTACAAACAGTATTAACTAATAAAAATGCGAGTACACTCTATTAATAGAGATATGCACAGTACTGGAAGATGATGAGGATTATGAAATGAATTATTTTTATAAATTTACATCTTCTCATCAGATTTATCTTCTTAAAGTAGATGTTTAGAATCAGCTTTGTCATTATTAAACCTTGTAGTTGGTATCAAAAATATGTTTTATAGGCAGCAATAGATACATGAGTGTTTGCGTTCCCACAATGTGACTGAAGAATCTAGCTAGGGCTCAACAACACAACAAACTGAACTACTGTAAAACCTCGAATAGAAGCTCAATGGGCTTGGAGAAGAAGCCCATTTCGAATTAAAGTAGTTTGCAAAAGTAGCCTACAGGCTTCTTTTCAAGATAGCATAGGCCTTTTTTTCGAGATAGTACAGTACATACACTGTACATGAATTTCAAAGAAACAAATAAATTAAAAACGCACTTGGTTATACAGTAATTTAGGTGCATGATTTAATGCCGCGCCGGTTAATACACGCTGTGATACAGATTGATGTTACAGTGGCCCTATTTATTGTTTTGTAATAGTAATTATAAAAAATGTACAGCACTATTTTGAAAAGAAGCCCCCCACCCACCTCTTTACTTTGCTAATGTAGTTTCGAAAAGAATTCCAACTCGAAAAGAAGCCCATCGAAGTTTTACGGTATATCCGAACAAACATGTAAGTGTGAGGTCCAGATTTGGCTGTCTCCCTCCCAGTCTAATGGGGTGGGGTACGTTGGTCACGTTTTGCTACTACATTTTTAAATTTCAATACAAAAAATACCAATGCCATGCTTTGAAGTAAGAAAAAATAGAATACAAATATGTGCACCCCTCACCACCCTCCCCACCCCCCGTGAAACATTCTGGATTGCCCCTGCTAGATCGTACCTCAACTACTTCTTAGCAACCTTTGGTTAAAGATGTATTCACAACTAATCCGAACTTTCGGATCAGGAGACCAAATCGATCAGAAAATCTAATAATTAATAATAGAATAGAGACGATGGACGTTCGGTTCTTTGGAAACGAGGTCCGGAATTTCGGGTTGGATCCGATGTGAATGCAGCTTACAGCTTTGACTATCAAATTTTATGTGACAAGCATTGTGATGTGCCTATGGGTACGATGACTTCATATCACATATCAATTAGTATCTTAAAAAAATGAACGTGTTCTACTCTTATGTTCCGTCACATTTTATGCAACGCATCTTTGATGAAATTTGATAATGAGACAAAGATTAAGAGACCTGGTACCTTTGAATGATACAACTTGAAATAACGCTACGGTAACGCAATATGTTTTATTGATCCAATTGTACATAATTTCTTCCCTTTTGTACAATAACGATAATAAATTATTCATAGCATAGCTCAATATCTGCTAAACAATTAAATATTTTCTTTAGCTGGTATATTAGATCAATTTTTACGTCCTACTAATTAATTATTTGACTTCGAATGTAGAGCTAGAAATATTAGCGTATTCACATCCGCCACACGATAACTTAAGGTTGCTATATCTCACGAATTGCATGGCGGCGTAACGATGATCACGGGCCCGGGGGTCGGGGAGGGGACCGTGTTTGGGCCCATGTCTTGAAAGTAGCAGATGGGATGGTAGTCTATTTGATTGAATCCCCTCCCTAATTTACAAAATTATTAATATTAAGGCCAAAAGACTGAATGAAGAAATGTCAATACCGTTTAAAATAATTACCGTATATTGTGCCTAAAACCATGGAGGTATTATAGTAAAGTAGAATAATACCTCCGTTCTTTGACCCACGCCCTTTACACTGAGACGTTTATACATATCCTGTTTACACAAAAGGAGAGATTATTCCTATAAGGGAAAAAAGGTCATGAATGAGGATTTGGATGCTCCCGAACGATTTGCAAAACTCCACGTTGTTCGCAAATTCACATTAAAGGCCTAAATTGTTCTCGTAAAATGCTAAAACCCAAAGCTTAGTGCAACATTTGAGAAAGAGCTCTTGTAGGCATAAGAAGTGTGTTTACCCTGCGCCCCACTAACAATAATATTAATAACACTGATACACATGCCTATTTCATAGTGTGATTATACGTATTGTGCCTACAATCACAATATATTCACCACTTTCAACAAGTGGAATATAAAAATATAAACGAAAATTCATACACAACATGTGATTAATAGCCCATTGCTTACTGCTGAGTCTACATTCTCTGTCATTTGCGAAACTCGCACTTCGGAAATTAACGTTAAAGGCCTAAATTTCTCTCGTAAAATGCTAAAACCCAAATGTTAGTGCAACATTTTGAGAAAGAGCTCTTGTAGGCATAAGAAGTGTGTTTACCCTGCGCCCCACTGACATTAACATTAATAACACTGATACACATGCCTGTTTCATTTATATATATTGTAGTGTAATTACATGTATTGTACATACAACAATTGCAATATATTCACCGATATAAACGAAAATTCACGCACAACACGATTCATAACCATTGCTTACCGCAGAGTCTACATTCTCTGTCATTTATAACACAGGTTGTCTTTGGTTCTCACAAATACATAACATCTAAATATATATATATTTATTTATAGTAAATTTACATATGTATTTACATAATAATTTCTATGTCGCATCAGTTACATCAACCTATTCACTGCTGTTAGGTCCACATACGGCATATTATGGTTATGGATACATCTTGCATGGCCATTTCGGCCCTTAATAGAATAATAATAATATACGATGTTAAATGTACTCACTATAGATATATTTCTTCCGTCTCCAGGATATATTTGATGTACACAATAACATCATTTATACTGAAGAGATCCGGGAGACGGAAGAAGTATTTATAGTGAGTACAATTAACATCGTAATTTATATTATTATTTTATGAAGGGCGTGTACAAAATGTTCCCATAACCATAATAATTTCTTCACCAGATATCCAAAATTTACACCAATGTGCAACCAAAATTTCAGTGTTATGGGTATTCGTGACTTAGTAGAAAGAGTATCGTAGTAATGATGATAACGCAGACGGGGGAACTCATGCATATATTAGCCGATCCCACTGGCAGTTCTGTGTAGAGAACGAAATTAGTAAATCAATTAACTAATGCATGCATCAATATTGACATGATGATGATCAAGATGATTATGATGATGATGATGACGATGAAAAGGATTGTGATGTAATGACGATGATTAAGTATGTCATGATCTATTTGAATGAATGATAAAATGAAGACTGAATGATGATTATTGCACTAATGATAATTCTTGATATCACAACATAATTATGGCATGACAATAATGACAATCATTGCTATTATGACGAATAATATGTAATTTATTCGTCATTTCATTCTTTCAATAGATTAAAAAATAAATCATCAAGGGAGTCCTTTTGTGATGCAAATGATGATGGCAGATCATAATATACCATAATGATGACAAAATACTTTGATACTGATTACGATTGCAAAATAAGCAAGCCATAACTAAAAAGCATAATATAAAGCGAAACAACATGCATTCCTGATATCCATTTCGGAATTATCCAGTGGAAATGAATGATGTATTCCTAACAGAAAAAGAATACCCAGGGGTATAATACAAAAACAAAACTGATGTCGTTGCGGGCCATTTGTTAGAAGATTTTAACGAAAAGGTAGCATGCATTTAGTTTTTGTAATGGTGTATTGGACCTACATTATTGGTTGCAACATAAGCACAATACATAATATGATACGGTTTTAAAATTGTTAGAATGTTAGTTTAAAACAACAAGTGCACATTCTTACCCATGTTAAACCCACTAGATATTTAATTAAATTAACCCAGATAATTAATTATTCCGATACCATGGTTTAAATGTGTGACAACCGTGTAGGTAGTTAAACTATGGTGTGTTATAGGTTGCTTAAACTGGAATTTTCAAAAGATAACAGTTTGTCATTAAGGGAACTTTCATTGTCCCTTGACAAATGGTTCTTCCCTCTTTTCATTATGAGGGCCAAAAGACGCCGGGTTCTTGTTGTGACTGATTGCGGCGGAGCGCCTTCTCCGGTTGTTGTTAGTGTTTCTTTTCGGTTTGTGTTCAGGTTTTTTATGTTTAAACTTACCATCTTTTTTTATGCATTTGCATGTGCTAATATCCCCAACAAAGTTTTTGGAGCAAGTCAGTTGACAGATTGTGGGAGTGGTGGTCATATTAATTGTATTTTGTTGTTCTGTGGCTGTAATTGTTTCTCTACTATCGACGTCAGTTGAAACGGTCACCGGTGGATGGGTTGACCATTCGGTTGATTCGTGGGCTGATGCAATGGTTGATGCTTGGGCTGATGGAATGGTTGACGCTTGAGTTGACGCTCGGATTGACGCTTGGGTTGATCCTTTGCTTGACGCTTGCGTTAAGTCTTGGTTGGTTGATTCTTGGGTTGATGCATGGATTGGCGCTTGTGTTGACACTTGGGTTGACGTTTGGGTTGACGCTTGCGTTGACGCTTGATTTGGCGTTTGGGTTGATACTTGGGCTGATGTTTGGTTTGATGGTTGGGTTGACACTTGGGTTGACTCTTGTGTAGATTCTTGGGTTGACATTTGAATTGATGGTTGGGTGGTTGATGGTTGGGTGGTTGATGGTTGGGTAGTTGATGGTTGGGTGGTTGATGGTTGGGTAGTTAAAGGTTGGGTGGTTGATGACGTAGTGGTTGGTGCATTGGTGATTGATGGTTGGCTGGTTGATGATTTGTTGGTTGATGGTTGGGTGATTGATCGTTGGTTGGTTGATACATTGGTGGTTGATGCTTGGGTTGACATTTGAATTAATGATTGTGTAGTTGATGGTTTGGTGTTTGGTGTATGGGTGGTTGATGGTTTGTTGGTTGATGATTGGGTGGTTGACGGTTTGTTGGTTGATGTTTGGGTGGTTGATGGTTTGGTGGTTGATACATGGTTGGTTGATGGTTGGGTGGTTGATGGTTTGTTGGTTGGTGGTTGGGTTGTTGATGGTCGGGTGGTTGATACATGGTTGGTTGATGGTTGGGTAGTTGATACTTGGGTGATTGATGCTTGGGTTGTTGATGCCTGGGTTGACGCTCGGATTGACGAACTAGTTGTTGCTCGGGTTGACGCATTAGTTGACGCTTTGGTGGTTGATTCTGAGGTGGCTGATGCTTGAGTGGATGGCGCTTTGGTGGTTGACGCTTGGGTGGATGACGCTTGGGTGGTTGATGCTTGGGTTGTTACAATATTTTCTGCGGTGTTGCAAGTACCAAAGCAATTATAGCAATGCATGCAAAGCACAAACAAAGTAATATAATGATAAATAAAAAATACCAGCATGCAATACAAACTTTATCAATTTCAGTGACAAAAAAATAGGTTAATAACGATATACAGCGCTCTGAGGTTAGCTTATATGGCGCTAGCAAGCACGTATATATTATTATTTTTATTATTCCTTTGGTGGAAACTCCACTCTGAATAAGCCCATTCGTGGTTTGAATTGCACCTGCGAATGCCCGTATCCAAGGCCAATCCACAGCCTATGTTGTGTGTATGTTTGTTTATGTCGCTTGACTTTGATACAGGCATGCGCAATTCAAACTACGAATTGGCTTATTAAGAGTTATATTATCTTTGAATTAAATATTAGAACATTTTTCCTTGCCAATTAATAAAGTGACGCATAAATATGCCTATATTCTTTGCATAGTTTTACTTTAATATCCTTAAACTTGATTACCAGCAAATTGAAGGATGTTTAAATAAAACTTCTGTAAATTAATGCAAACTGGGTTGATTTATTTCCTGATTGAATGAAGTTAATTGATTTGGTCTATTTTAATGAGCAATATAATTTTTAATTTATTTTGAGGTGGTTTATTTTGCATCCTTCACAGACTATAAATTCAAGGTTAGGATAGGCGCCTCTTGTACCATGTTAAATATTACTTTTCTATATTTGAGTGAAATAAAATAAAAAGTAATTGCTTATTAAAACTTAAGCATTGCACAGCTTTTGAACTCACCGCATACTGTTCCTGTATATCCATCTGAGCATGCGCATGTGCAAGTTTCTACAGTTAAATATCCGCCATTTTGACAAGTTTTCCCATCGCATACATTCGTTACTACGTACTCTATAAGTTGTGACATAGATATCAGAATCAAATAAACAAAGCAATTAGACGCCATGAATGGTGTTGAGCACATGCAGCGTGATAAATGATGATCTCACCATCTTTGTGTTGCACGCGCAAAAAGCCTAAACGCGCAGTGATGTTCATTGAACCGCAATGTAGGCGCGTCTTGGGCATATACTTGTGCTGGAGAGACAATTTGTTCAATGACTAGGCCTATGTACAGTTAATGATCAATGAATGATGCATTTGTTTTCGATATGCATAGGCCTACGTGACGGTTTAAACAACTCACCACAAACATCTCCCGAAAATCCGTCTTGACATTCGCAAATACAGGAAACTGTATCTAATTGTCCACCATTTTTACATATTTTTCCATCGCAAGGACACTCGTAACTGTTCTCATCCGTCAGTAGTTCTAACACGTATAGAAATTATGAATATAATAGTTATTCTCTCTACTTTCACTTTCTGGTTTTTAATTAGGACTGAGAAATATAATGAAAGTTTATACCGGACAAATGGACTCCTAGCCTAACGCTATGAAACATATCAGTTTTGGAGTTGACAATACGCTTTTATTTTTTCTACAAAACAAAATTTGTATTAACATCTTGATACCACCGAAATGGAGAAGTTCATTACAAAAGAAACAAGAGCAGTCATTCCATAGAGTGCATACCTCCGCCCTGTGTCTGAATGCAGTAACAGCAATACGCAGGGCCGTGTATGATGGGCAAAACTGCAGCATACCCTCAATGAAATATTCAAGCACATTATTTTGTTGGATGCTGCAGAATACCATAAAGAAAATTATGGAATCGCCCATCGTATCTAGGTACTGTACATTGTTTTCTTGAGTGCTGTCTGAATAGGGCGGTTCCATCATTTTAATTCGAATTTGCATGACCCTCATGACCTTGTCCTTTGACATTTTCTTCTGAAAATTGAGTGGTGTCTTTTTCTATTATTATGTACCACTACTGTATATCCTCATAATTAATTAGGACCATGTGATTGCTTTAATGATTTTGTTTCCCAATTTTTCCTGTCACATTTGCCATAATAAGTGAATATTATTGAGATCGATCAAGGCACAGAAGATGAATAAAGCTTACCACAAACACCGCACATGGCAGGGCATCCATTTTTGACGTATGAGTAACGTTCACACTGTGGCTTGTACCAACCGTTGTTACAATGTTTACTGGTATCTTCACATGTTTCTGTAAACCAACACATTATTATAGCGACAAGTCAGAGGCAGTGGGGGTATAGGAGATGAGTGGGGTTGGCGGAAAATATTCTCTTTCTTATGCAAAATTTTAATTTAATCTTGATTGTACTTTCTTGTGTCAATCAAATTTTACAACTGACCAATAAAAACGTGTTATTTAATTGCCAAGAATACGCGCATGTCCTACAAACATTGGATTTTACGTATTTTGTAACTTTAAGATCCCACACATTAGCAACATTATGCAAGGAGCTGGGCTTAGCAAAAAAAGCTTCATGGGCTACGGCCCTGGTCCTTAATAGGCGGCCCGCGGGCCAAATTTGGCCATAAAATCTGGCAGTGTGAAAAAAATGAAATTAAACACTCATAATAAAGTAAATTATTTGATAAATAATTTTCCCATTATAAGTTGATACATAAACGCAGCCCCTGGGCCATGTCTACTGACAACATTTAAGGAACGATCACGCGTGTGGACATGACCTTTACTGCAAGTCTTTAGGAGCTGGTAGCCTATATTGTAGACCTAGAGCTTAAAGCTTACGAACACACTTTGATACAGTACATCTAAAAAGAAAGTAAAAAATGACCACCGAGCACTGAGAGATTAAAAATGAACACGGAATCTGAAGAAAAGCAACGAAGTGAATGGTATGTAAATTTCAAATCATCAGACCCGTAGCGTGTGTGTGGGAGTGGGGGTTAATTACGACGAACCGCCCAAAAACTGGAGAAGGTCTGCATTTAAAACGAAAAATTGATATTCGTAGATATATTTACAATTTTCTCCAGCGTATCGGAGATCATAGAAGCCAAAGAGTCCCACTCAAACGAACCTCCCGCATATTAAGGTTTGTATTTTGTTGTTTGTTTTATTTCCATTTTGATACATATTTCGATTCCGATTATGTTTATAGAATACACAAATAAATGTAAATATAATAAAGTATAGTTTCAATATTTATAAATACACACATGTTAATGGCCGTTTTGGGCTTCTTTCTATATCTAATAAGCCGGAAAAATTCACTCACTCCCTTTCTGGGCCAATTACCTGTACTAGTTGTAAGCTATTATTTATTATTATTATTATTATTATAATACACAAATAAATAATAATAATAATAAATAAGCTATTACTATGAAAAATATATGAAACGTTCCCACAAATGGGTTCCCACGGGACTCAGGTTGAAGCACGAGACACGCTCTTTGTACGCCGCCTTCAGTTATTTATCTTGTTTACATGTAGGAAATAGTTTCGTACTTATTCATCCTCCATGGTTTAACTATCAGTATTAACA